GTTTTTTAAGGTAGTAAAAAAAGGAGTTTTTATAAGTATTAAAATATATAGTTATTATTTATTATTTATTAACTGTAGTTATTTTATTAATAATAATATTAAAATAACATGTTTTTAAAAGCTTTATAATTATAAGCTTTAAAATTTAAGTATAGTACTAGTTTAAAATTAAGCTAGTAATATTATAATAATTTAAAGCCTTTATATTAAAAAAAAAAAAGTTTTTAAAAATAAGGGTTATTAAAAAAAGAAAAAGGCCGCGTGCTAGTAAAAATAGTTATTTTAATAAGTTAATAAGCTTTTTGCTTAAGATTGCCATTAAAAAAAAAAACTAATTAATTAAAAAAAAGGCCTAAAGGTGTTAATTTAATTAAGGTAAGGTAGTTAGTATACTTTTTTATAAAGTAGGTTTTTTATTAAGTAAAGTTTTTAGCGCGTGTTTAAGTGTAATATTTATATTTAATAATTATAGTTTAAAAAAAGGTTTTTAAAATATGTTAAAAAATCTAAAAAAAATTATAAAAATATAAAAATACCTTTTTAATAATAATAGTGTATATAAAATTTTTTTTTAGTAAAGGATTTTATAACCTAATTATATTAGTAAAGTTTTTTAATTTTTTAGTAAGGGTAGTAAAGTTTTAATATTTAAAAATATATATTTTATTAAATATAAGGTGTAAATTATAAATATAGGCCTTTAGTATTTTTTTATATAAGTAATTAAAAATCCCTATATTTAATTAGCTAGTAAAAAACCTAAGCACCAAGCTATATTTTTATTAGTTAGTTTAAACCCACTTTTATATCACGTGATTTATTACTTTGTTAGTAATAAATAAACCTTGGTTAGTAATTTTGGGTAAGAAATTATTCTTTACGGTAAATTGTACAACCCTACCCCCACTTGCTGCAGAGATAAGCCATCGCCCTGCTGCGATGTCTCTTGCATTGATCGTATTGCTCTTCGGGAATGTGATCAAGGACATAGTAAGTCCTTATAACTGCTTCCATCATAGTACCTCTTTCGGATTGATTGCTACTAAGTTCATCATTAACGTACTATAGAGCTTCCAGACTCTGGCCGTTCTAGGCCCGACGGCAAGGCATGCGATCAACACCGCCGTTCCGCGCGCGCCAAGTTTGCTGCCAGGCTCGAAGCTCTGGGTTGCATCTGCCGCACTCTGATAGCTCTGGGGCAAGAATCTTGCTGTCCACCGCCGAATAGCGTTTCCCGCGGGACTGAGCGTCGCTCGAGGGAATACATCCTGCGTTCGACTTTTGACTCTGACCGGGGGAGCAGTACGGGGTCAATTAACCGCCGCAGCGCAGGTTTGAAGAGGAGAGAAGATCCTTGTACGGGCGGCTGCTGCAGCACTTCGAAGACTTACGCACCTAAGCCGCACAATGCTGCTCAGAAAGGGAAACGTGTCGATACACCTGAGGCGTCCGCAGATCGTGAAAAGCAGGTGTTTGTTACGAAAGCAGCTTCTATCGGGACAACAAGTTGCTCAAAGGGGTGTTGTGGTAGACGACAAGTGGCTACTGAGCAGTGTTTGCCTTCTCGACAGGAATGCTGTAACGAGGTCAGATGCTCCGCCGATTGCAGTAGTTCCGCTGTCTTTCCCCAAGGCAAACCCACCGGACTCCAGCCTTGCGCTTCCGGTTGCTGCAATAAACTCGAGAAGCCTTGTGGCCTTTTACCCGAAGGGATAGTCAACATACCAGCCTGCCCATCTAGCTGTTGCGATAAAGACGAGACGTCTGCTGATATCAGATGTGGAGATGAACTCAGTCCCAATGGTCAGTCAGGCACCTGCTGCAGTAAGCCTCCGTTTGCTGCATGCGGCGCGGCCATCAATAAGTCTACAGACTTCACGCAGCGCAACCCCGGAACCTTTACCAACGATCCCGAAAAGGGGATTACCGGAAAAGAGCATGTCGCTCTGAGCATATCTGGTATGACATGTACGGGCTGTGAAACCAAGCTTCAGCGCACTTTGGGCACACTGCAGTCAGTTCAGAATCTCAAGACAAGCTTGCTGCTGTCGCGTGCGGAATTCGACCTCGATGTTGGCGTCCAGTCACTCGATGAAGTGTTGAGGCACTTGGAGAAGACTACCGAATTCAAGTACGAAAGGGTCACAGACCGTGGGTTGAGCGTGGACATTATCGTCCCTAATGCGTCAGACTTTATGAAGCAAGACTGGCCTCACGGTGTAACGGAGGTAACACTGATCGATGAGGAGACCGTAAACGTCGCTTTTGATGGAAAGATAGTCGGGGCAAGAGACTTGCTGGAGCGTGGCTGGGACAGGCCTCTTTGCCTGGCTGCTCCTCGTCCCGACTCACACCTTGCGGCTGGAAACAAGCATGTGCGCCAAATGGGATACATGACCGTTCTCTCTATTATTCTGACGGTGCCCGTCTTGGTCCTTGCTTGGGCTCCTCTCCCAAAGAGGGAAATTGCATACGGCTCTGCGTCGTTGGCATTGGCCACTGTTGTCCAGGTCGTCATTGCCGGTCCATTCTATCCAAAGGCGTTGAAAGCTTTGATATTCTCCAAGATCATTGAGATGGATCTGCTCATTGTGCTGAGCACAAGCGCTGCTTATATTTTTTCAGTAGTCTCATTTGGATACCTCGCGGCGGGTCAGCCACTTGCCACCGGTGAATTCTTCGAGACTAGCACTTTGCTCATTACACTGATCATGATCGGTCGGTATGTTGCTGCCCTTGCTCGTCAAAAAGCTGTTGAATCCATATCGCTTCGTTCAATGCAGACATCAACCGCCACACTCGTGGATGAGGCTGGGGCGACTATAAAAGAGATCGATGTCCGGCTACTCCAATATGGGGACATCTTCAAGGTCCCTCCAGACTCCAAGATCCCAACCGATGGGACCGTTATCGCAGGATTATCTGAGGTGAATGAGTCTCTGATCACCGGAGAGTCAATCCCAGTAGACAAGTCCCCTGGATCTTCCATTGTTGCAGGATCCGTGAATGGTTCCGGGTCGCTGATTGCCCGGTTAACCCGCCTTCCTGCCGACAATACAATCTCCGTCATTTCAAGAATGGTCGACCAGGCGAAACTGTCAAAGCCAAAGATACAAGATATGGCGGACCGGGTGGCAAGCTATTTTGTACCCGTTGTCATCGCTCTGACCATGGTCACGTTTGCGATCTGGATTGCGGTTGGCATCACAGTGCAAAAGCAATCCGGCTCTCGAGCTACTGCGGAGGCAATAACTTATACCATTACCGTACTCATTGTCTCTTGCCCATGTGCTATCGGCCTGGCAGTGCCAATGGTTATCGTCATAGCCAGTGGTGTTGCTGCCGAGCGGGGTGTCATTTTCAAGGCTGCTAATAGTATTGAAGTCGCCTACAAAAGTTCCCACGTTATATTTGATAAGACAGGTACCCTCACCCAGGGCCGACTCACTGTTGCAGTTGAGCACATAGACAGTACGGGGGATTCAATGTCCCAGTTGCTTGGTCTTATTGGGAGCAACAAACACCCGATTTCCGCTGCCGTGGCTGCCCGCCTGAAAGCGAAAGGCATAATAGCGTCAACTGTCAATGACATCAAAGTCCTAACAGGCAAGGGTGTCGAAGGATCGGCCCAGAATCTCGTTCTGCGCGCAGGAAACTCACGCTGGCTCAACCTCTCCTGTAACCCACAAGTCCAGTCCATTCTTGAGGGAGGTTACACGGCATTTTGCTTCACAATCAACGAAACTCTCGTCGCTGTCTTTGGTCTGGAGGACTCACTCCGCCCCGACGCACTTGAAACCGTCACCAAGCTCCAGGAACGCGGTATATCAGTCCACATCCTCTCAGGCGACGACCAGGGTCCCGTATCCTCAATTGCACGACAACTCGGTATCACAGATCAAAACATCCGCTCCCGCTGCACCCCATCCGACAAGCAAGCCTACATCCAAGCCCTTAATCTCAGCACAACCCCCAACCAAGCAACACGCAAGAACCACCCCGTAACAATCTTCATCGGCGACGGCACAAACGACGCTGTCGCCCTCGCAGCCGCCACAATTGGCGTGCACATGAACCAAGAAACCGGCAGCGAGATTGCCAAATCTGCCGCCGACGCCGTGCTCATGCGGCCACACCTGCTCGGTATCCTCACAATGCTGAATATCAGCGAGAAGGCCGTCCGCCGCATCAAGTTCAATTTCGCCTGGAGCTTCGTGTATAATCTCTTCGCGGTCCTGCTTGGGGCTGGGGCGTTTAAGGCTGTGGGTGCGCGAATCCCGCCGCAGTATGCGGGGCTGGGCGAGCTGGTTAGCGTTTTGCCTGTTGTTGTTGCGGCGGTGCTGTTGAGGTGGGCTAGGATATAATGAAGTCTAGGGTAGGATGCAAGACCAGCATGGGTTCTTGTTACGATGCACAAGGAGATAAAGGTGGAGTCGCCGGAATAGCTTGCTCAGCTGGCTTGGCTTTATGACAACTGCAATGGCCATGGTCTACTCTACTAGGTACCTTCAAGCTCCGCCCCTGCCGCTTGCTTTGACAAGTTCTCGTGCGGCCCTGGTCAGGCCTGGTTAAGGATAAAGCAGCAGTCGAGTATCCCCAAAGCAGATGAGATTGAACAGATGAGATCAACTACCTTTGCCATAGGGGCTCAAGAGACCGAAGAGCTCTTTCCCGCAGTATAAAATGAGGAACTTGTGAACTTCGCAGCTGTAGAGTTCCTGAGCCCTAACGCACACTGGTCCCTACGTCTCACCCCATGGGACCCAAGCGCGGAACCCTTATCTTAGACATGGAAATTGCTTGTCTTAACGCAAAGGCTGATGGCCGGCTCTACTGGCCCAGGACCAAGAGACCCTACGCTTTAGTAGAGGTTAAGCCATTTGTGCTTCCGAGCACTCAAAAAGCAGCAATTCAAATAACATGCAGATGGCGACTTGGATCAGCAAGTGCGTTGATGGCAAGGGCTTTAACGAAGATGCCCATCCGTGAGTACCCACAATCCAGCGCCAAAAGTAAAAACTGTTAGCTATCACATGTTGGCCGTCTTCTATGTAGTTTCTGGATGCTGAGCCAGCACAGGCACGAATTCCTTTTTTCCTTCGCGGAGTTCGGCGAGAAGTACAAGGACTACCCCCTGCGTGGCAAAGCAGGGGACAAGGAGACTGAGGAAGGTTTCCTTAACTAAACTTCTTTGGACCCTTCAGTATTTTCGACTCCCGCAATATATTTACAATTGGGCGCATGGTAAATGGACTTAGCATTGAGATGCGCCGCCGAAATGCTCGAGGTGCCTAGGGATAATGCTACCACTTCAGGGTATTCACGGCACAGCCCCCGGTTACTGGTATACATACGGGAAGCTCCATCGCCCAGGCTCTTTGTAACAAGCCATCGACTTTGAGCGTTGACCGTCGTGGCCAACCAGCTCAAAATGCTCACGCAGACGCTGGAGATACTAACGCGGACAATTTGGTCCGGAACAGCCCGAGTAAAAAGGTTACCAGTAGCCCATGCAGTATACATAGTAGATAGCCCCGTATCCATATGAGTAGTCCCGCGGCTCACACTCTGTATTGCAGCAATGCAAGTGCAAATGCACCTGATCCATCTCTCCAGCTGTGCCGGTGCAGATCAACATCCAAACGTATCAGATATTAAGCGAGATACAGATAATTTGATCCCATGGCTCTAAAATACTCGAACCCGATCGCGCCCATGTCACAATATCCCCCCTTAGCCCGATTATACAGCGCGCGCACCCTACACAGCCTCGACGCAAACTCCTCGTCTTCACCCCTCGGCCTCCAAAGAGCGGACACATAAGGATAATGCCACTGATGCCCCGGGACATCAAACGGAGAGTCCTCGACATACCCGCACATCTTAAACTCCAGGCGCGTCAGAGACCGGAACCGCACGAGTCTGTCGAAGAGTAGTTTCCATCGCCTCTTGCCTCGGGCTTCCAGTAGGACATGCATCAGACTGAGGATCTGCAATGTATCTTTGCAGAACCGGATGCTGTATAGCGTGCGAGGCGGAAGGGTCATTTTATGGAGGAACAGGGATCGAAGTGGCGCCTTGATAGAGCAGATGAGGACCAGGTCTGAGTTAGGGTCTGGGGCTAGGCCTGGAACTCGGCTTGGGCTTGGGCTTGGGCTTGTGGATTTAGGGCCCGGGACCGGCTCGACCCATCCCAGCTCGGATATCTGCAAGTGGTGCATGTTGTGGGCGTGTTGCAGGACATGGAACACACCGGTTTTGCAGACGCGCGTTGCACGGCCATTTGGCTGGCCGCGGTGCGTGAAGAACCGGACGCCTGGCATCACGCCTTTCAGACATGATTCTTTTTCTGCTTCGGATTCAGGTGATGCAGGTACAGAGAGCAGCAGACATGCGTCTGACGCGTCAAACCGCTCCAGTCTAGCTGGTGGATTGAGCTGTACCGTAGAGCTCGGCGGAATGCTGCCGCCAGTGCAGCGTGCACGGCGGCGTTGTCGCGCTTCCACGGCTCGCTAACACTCATGCTAAGCCGCTTTATGTTTGGGAAGCGTGCGAGGATCCTTGGTATCTCTTCAAGCGCACGAGTTGCCGTTTCGTCCGAAAATATTCCCGGGCCGTCGACACTGCCGAAATATCCCAGAAACATGTTTTGCACGGCGAGTCGGAGCTCGCTATTCGCGAGCTCTGACAGACTCCGCGGGACCCAACTCTTGTCATTGTTCATGTTCTTGTTCTTGAATTTTACGCATATGTTCCGGAACATGAGGCGGGAGGCGCTGCAGTAGAATTTGGTGTTGACTTGACGGAGGCTTTTCGCGGTCTGGCATTGATCTTCGATATCTCAGGCTGTGAAGGCATGGACTGTGATATCATCATATAGCTCTTGCGGTAGCTCGGCGACCCGGTTTGGGCGAAGGTGGTAGGGAAGCCTGGCGATGCGAAGGATGCAGGTAGAGGCATGATTCAGCTAGTGCAGGCTCTCCATTTCGTCCATGTCTGCCATGATGTTGGGATAATTTGGCTGTACTGTCGCAGGCATCTCGCAGAAAGAATGTACTCGCTCTGAGTCATGATCTATAGGGGCGTTTCATTCCTATCCAACGAGAGTTCGGCATGGGCAAGCGTGGTCATCTTCACCCCCGGCCGGACGGACTACGATCCCGGAATCTCCTCTCGGTATTGCCTTGCTGCTAGCCCACCTTCCTTCCTTGCCAGGGTATCAGGTTGACTGTAGGCTTTAGATCGAAGAGAGCTTGGATCACAAGCTGGACTGTAAAGTCGCTCGCATCACCGTAATCCTAACGATTCGTCATCGTTCCAACTGCACTCTACATATCAGGCAACGTAAAGAAAGAGAAGATTGAGCAGATACCACCAGTGTGCCCTACCACTGGTAGCCGCGCTGCTTAGTCTCTCCCCAGTATGTACTCCAGATGAGTACGGTTGTCCTTGTCTCAAGAGAGGTATTTGCCGCTGAATTCACCGAGCATAGAGGATGGAAGCATTGCCCGGAACCAGCCGAGGCAGTATACCGTGTCTTTGCTGAATTCCGGTTCGTTGGCAGGTCGAGACCAGAAGCCGCAGCGGACGCGGGTCATTTGCTTCAGAGGGTTATTTGGCGTCTTTGGCTTATAGTCAGACTCTGTCTCGTTTCTTTCTGCGTCAAGGACAGCAATACACCAGGTGAGCATATCGTTGAGAGTACCACGCACCCCCGTAGCCGGAAGCAGGGACGTATGATCATCACACGGCCACAGCTGGTCTTTGGCCGGAATAAATCACCCATCACTCAATTTGAAACGGAGAACCGCGGCATTGTCCTCGCTCTCCGTATCCAACCGCTTCATGTCTGTTCTGTCCATCGCCAGCGGCTCGCGGATCCTCTCGCGCACGAACTCCGCGAACCGCTGCCCGGTCACTTTCTGGATCACCAAGGCCACCAAACCAACGGGGCCATTGCTATAGTTCCAATCCTTATTGAATTTCTGATTTCCATCCTTGCCAATGGTGGGCATCATGCTAAAGAGGTCCACTAGGTCTTCCTCCGTGAGATTGGTCCGTGAGGACCAAACATGAGCATTGCTGAATCAGTAAGACCGGTGCTGTGGCGTAGGCAGTCGATGATATCAGCCTCTTTGCCAATGCGGGCGTCCTCTTCAGGGTTGAAATCGGGGGTGTACTTTTCTATCGGATCTTTCCAGTGTAATATCCCCTCGTCGACGAGTATCCCCACGGCGGCTGAGGTGAACATTTTGGAGCACGAGCCGATCATGTACAGTGTGTCTGCGTCCGGTGGGGGGCTGCTGAAGTCGGAATCTCGATGGCCGACACTTTGCTTGAATATGACCTCGCCTTGGTGGATGACTCCGAAGGTGATGGAGGGGTCTGGCATATTTCGCGAAGTTGGCGAATCGAGGGAGACAGGTCGACAGGCGTTGAGTGAGGTTTTCCATGAAGTAAAGAACATTGGAGATAGAAGAAGAGGAGAGAACGAGTCAGAGGAAGCACGAGAAGAGGACGGCCGGGGCCCTGGGAAAAGAGGACGGCGGGACCTGGCGGAGGAAGATTCTTGAGGAAAGCCAGCCTCCACTGGAACTCCTAAAATACAATCATCTGACAACCTACGGCTCTGTCCAGCCTATATTCATGCCTCCCCGACCATTCAAAGATCCTAGTACCGTGCATAGTGCAGTCTATCTTCCCGAGCGAATAGCTCTGAAAACATCCACGCGAGCATGTAAGTTCATGTTATGATCCTGATTCCAAAGTATCTGCGCACCCTAAGCTAAATGACACGTAAACAACGCGCAGCATCCGCTCCATATAATGCTCAAATTCCAGTCCATTCATCGCGTACACCTCTCCGTAGGCGGCCTCCAACCCACCCCCAACCCCTCCATAACCATCCTCTCCCTCTCCTGCCACGTCCCACCCCCAGCCTCAAGATCAATAACCTGGCCGCCGGTAACACGCTCCCTCACCCCACTGGAATCAAACTTCCACCCATGCGCCTTCTTCGCATACCGCCGCAGATCCCGCTCAAACGTCGTATCGCCGGACCAGCCCAGAACCGCGCAGCCGACGGTGCGCCAGGGGGAAATAATGATGTCGACGCGGCGGTGCGGGTTATCCTTGTTCTCGGGGCCGAGTTTGTCGCTCGGTGTCTGCCAGACGACGAGCGCTTTGTCGAGGGTGTCGAAATGGCTTCGCTCGTCGGTGTCGCCGCGGTAGGGGAGGGTCTGCTGGTTGCGGTTTGAGGTTGTTTGGTGGAGGGCTAGGGTGTGTGTGATCCAGCCGTCTGATTCCAGGGACGCGACGACGTCGACGACGAGGTTGTGCGTGATTGCTTCGTCGCGGTGGGAGAGGATGATGTCGACGTCGTGGGAGACGGGCTTGCCGCGGCGGTAGCTGCCGACGATGATGCATTCCACGCCGTGGCCGTCGTATTGGGCGGTTGGGCGGACGGCCGGGGAGTTCGCGTGCTGGCAGATGATTTTGCCGATGGCTTCGACTTCGGAGCGGGGGATGTCGAGGAGGAACTCGTCGTAGTATTTCACGCCGATCTGCTGCACGCGGGAAAGAGAGGTCCAGCCGTGCTCTACGATGTCGTCGAGATCGCGCCATTGTCTCGCGTAGTAGAAGTCTCGCGCGGTTTTGGAGCCCACGCCCCAGATGTTGTAGAATGTGTGCAGGGTGCGCAGGTCGGGATCTGTATCGAGGGCCTCGGCTGCACTGAGGGTACCAGATTCAGAAGCCTTGAATTCAGCAAAGAGGTTGGCGATTTTCGCCTCGCACCCTGGCAAAGACAGAATCTGAGACCCGCGTCTGATTTCGTGGGGATATGCTGCTATTGCGGCGATGGCGGTGCTGTATGCACGTACACCAATCTCATCAAGATTCAGCTCGCGGATTGTACGAATTTTGATGAGCTGGTCAATGAAACCCTTGTTGGGAGTATTAAGGAACGCAGAGCGCATGCAAGCGTACATCACACCGTCACGAACCCAGTCCGGCGGCGGGGGTAAGGGCTCTGCTTCTTCGTTCTCGGACGTTGTTGTCCGGTATAGCTTTGGAGGTGGGTGGTGACTGGACAGCCCGTCAAGTCTGTGCCTGGACGGAGGATATGGGACCTTGAACGCGGCGTCTTGTTTCGCGCGGTCGAGTATAGCCTGCGAGTTCGCAGCATCCTTATCGCTTTTTGTCGCCGGCCGCTCGATTTTGCGCGCGTGATACACCACAAACGGACCAAGCGGTAGAAGCATCTGCGCCTCGACACACTGCATCAACCAGTCCAGCCGCACAACCCTAATTACCCCATCTTCCTTCCCGCATAGGTCTGGCACACTCGACACCGGATCGCCCTTTGACTTTGACCGCTGCGGATGCTCCAGATGCGCCGTGGGCCGCTTCCCACGGATCCCGTCCTCCTCACTCTCATCCTCCGTACTCAGGTATATCTCATCCGCCGCATTTTTGCTCTTTGCATCCCCAACCCGTCTCCGTTTCGCAGGTGGGCCTGTAGGTTGAGACGATTGCGAGATAGTTGTACTCTCCACCTCCTCCGTCCAAACCCCTCTCGACCTCAACTCCAACGCAGCTCGCTTCTTCTGTCCAATTTTTCCAAGGATCAAGGTCGCCTCCGCGACATCGTAGGTCAAGCGCGCGCCGTGCTGGGATAGCGTTTCCTCTGCTTGGTGGAGCGCTTCGATGTCAAGATGGGTCGGGAGGACGAATATAGGCGGGCATTCTGACAAGCTTAGTCCAGCGCCTGCAGTCGACGGATTTGTATCGGTTTCGAGGCCTTGGTCTGGGTCGGACGGTGTGGGAGATGCTGTGGTTGTTGACATTGTGGGTTGCTGGGATCATTGCTCATGGTTAAGTATGTCGTTGTTTATGTATATATAGACGTTATAGAGCAGTCATGGAGCGTATATCAAGGTTTCCAAGCTCGTTGGGGTGAATTGCGTATATAGGTTAAAGAACTCGGCGGCATCGTATTTTGCTGCGGGGAATGGGGGGGTAGCGTGAATATTGGTGGTCTGTCAGTGCTGCCGTTTGTGAGATAATATCAATACCCCGGTGAGTGAAAGCCCATCGCATCTAGAGGCTCTCGATATTCTTGAAACCCGGGTCGCTGTGAAGACACGGAGTTGAGTGCGGGGAAGTTCAAAATTGTCGATGACGTCTCTCCACTCTAGCATTGCTGCCTTGCTGCCTAAGGCCAAGTTCTATATACAGCTGCATATACACCCCTTCATGTTCGTCCTTCGTCCATCGTCACTCATTCCTCATAATAGAGAAACCCGATATAAAACTCCTGATCCAATCTTGCCATCACCTACTTCGCATCCCCCTTGGGCTGCACACTCACAGTCCCATACTTGACACTCGACCCCTCATTCAACGGCGTATCAACCCTAGGAATCGACGCCCCAGCTTCAGCCCCAAAAGGCTCATCCCTGTAAGCTCCATCCCCGCTAAAAGCCGCAGGATCAACACCCTTGCCATGTCTCTTCCCGACCCACCTTCTCCAAGGCTTATAAACAAACACACTGAGCGTCCCAAACACCAAGAACGCACCGCAGATGCCTCCACCGATAACGTCGTAGTAGTCACCGGCCGTCTGCACGCCGTCCCAGAAGCGGCCGGTGGGTTCGGCCACGTTCAGGATGAGGGTGAGGAGTTGGATGACGCCGATGATGATGGCCACGATTACGGTCAGCGTGGTCAGCACGATGGAGTAGTAGAGGAAGGCGACGGGGTCGCGGTGGTTCTGGGGAGTGGTGATTGGGTCTTCGGGGTTTGATTCGGTGTCGGGGTTTGCGGCGGCGTCTATGAGGGGTCCTTGCGAGGTTGTTGAGTCGGTGCGCTTTGGTGGGAGGAAGTTTGTGGCTGGTTGCACGTAGAGCGCGAGCATTAGGGCTCCGTCGGTGGTGTCGAGGAGGCACATTCCGGCTGTGGCTGTGGTTAGATGTTTCGTCTGGATTGTGGGTAAATAGGGCCTGGCATACCTGTGAATAAAATAGGGAAGATAAGAATAACCCAGAATGAAGTCCCCTTCGCGGCCTCAATAGACGAGATTCCAAGCAGCGCAATCTCAGACGAGGTGTCGAATCCCAGTCCGAACAGTATGCCCAGCGGGTACATCTTCCACGGTCTGCCATGCAAACGCACCAAGTCAGCGCTACCTCCCAATTCTACAGTCCCAAGCAAGAAACGCACCGATCAATTAACTTAAACATCCTCTTCAACACCCTAAACAGCACGCCCCCGCCCTCAATCTTCCACGCCTCGTCTTCCTGCCCCTCAGGCAAATCCAGCACCTTCTGCATCTGCTTATACAGCTTATACAGAATATACGCGTTCATGAAGCCTAGCAGGATGAGGAATGCCGCGCTGACAGAGGTCCCAATAATCCCGCCAACCGTGCTGAACTTGTCGAAGCGCGAGGAGACCGCTGCCGCCGTCGCGGCGACCACGATCGAAGTGATGATGACGATGGTGGAATGGCCGAGCGAGAAGAACGTGCCGACCGTCACGGGTTTCTGGCCCGTTGCGAGGAGGCGGCGGGTCATGAGGTCGATGGCCTGGATGCTGTTAGCTCGTTTGCCTTTACCGATATGATGGCGCGGCGCGTACCGAGATGTGGTCTGCGTCAAAGGCATGTCGCAGACCCAGTGTATACGCGAGCACAGCATTCGAGACAAGCGATCTAGCAAGCCCCGTCAGCATCATCCAGATCCAGATCCAAGCAGAAGAAGACTCACGAGTGATATCGCTAGGCCCACGTTAGTCTCATCTCTTATCGTCAGCAAACCCAGAACAGGAATCATACCAAAACAATCGCGACAGCAACCCAAACAACAACATTGACGCACGCCACAAGCAATATCACCGCAATCGAGCGCAGAGGCACCTTGCGGATCCCCGGCAGCCGACTATGCGAGCGCTCGGCATGCCGGAGGAGCGCCTTGGCCGTCCATTTCTTGTCGTCGGACCCGAGGACAGGGGAGTCGGGGGAGGACATCACCGTCACTTTGCCTAGTCGCAAGAAGATGAAGGCCAGAGCAAGGATGCAAAGAAAAAGAAAATGTTCCGCGAGCTTCGCTTTTCAAACGACCTCGCTAGACGAGCAGTGAGGGGAAATAATTATAGCGGGGCGATAAGCAGGCCTTATCAAATCTATTCGCGTGGACGGGGACGACGCACAGGGCAGGCCAGGGTCTGCTTGGTTTGACCAAGCCTTTTGCTATTGAAGTTGGAGATCGAGGCTGTTGTGACGATGCGGATGAGCTTCCTGTCCTCATGAAGTAGGATCCTCGAAAATCCGCACCGTGAGGACTGCAGGTCGAAATGGCAGAGAAAAGTTCCCCGGGTGTCAACCCCACCGCGCAACAAATCCGGCGGAGGACGCCGAGGAACCTCGCTACGTGCGGGAAAGTTACAAGGCAAGTGGATCGCTTCGGCGAAAATTGCATTCGCTAACTATATACAGTCTAGTAGGTTCTATACAGGTTGACAGAAATCATCTCGTCATAACTATAAGGTTTGCGGTCCCAGCAAGGATGGCATGGGACGGCAAGGCTGAGCTGGTGTTCGAAGATACTCAGTCTCAGGCTGACCACGCAGATCTGTCGTGGTCATGGTGATCTCCAGAGAGATACCATGGGGATCGGGGCAATGGAGCAGTGATGCTCCGAAGCGACTCCGTCGGCGCTGGTCCTCTTGATCGGACGATGCTCGGCGGATTGATGATTGGTGGTCTACAAATAGACCTAATGATGCGGTTGTATAAATTCTCGACTCCAAAACTAGTCGAGCTCTTTCTCACCCACAAGCAGCGGCAAGCACAGTCGGCGAAGGCGTCCACTTGGTAACAGTAGGCTGACTCTTCTTGAACCCCGGCCCAAAGAGCAAATTCCACTCGTTGCGCGTGATGGGCGTGACATCCGACGCAGAAAGCGGCGTCTTAGGGCCCCTCTTGCCCAGCGTCCCAGCAGGCGAAAGTCCCTTCTGCGCGGCCGTCGAAGCCTTTCGAACGCGAACAGGCCGAACAGGCCGAACAGGGACCTTCTTCTTCTCAACGACAACAACAGCAGGTTTTGGCGGGGGAGGAATGACAATCCCGTCCTGGCTATACTGCTTTCTGTATATGTCTGCGACCTGCGAGAGGAGCTCGTCGCTGACATCGAGCTGCTCGTAGACGCGGTGGAAGAAGGCCTTGCTGAAAGGCCGGCCGTTGAAGTCCTCGATTGTGCGGTGGAGAAGGCGCACGCAGGAGTTGATGTAGGATTCTGGAGAGGCGGCGGGCTTGGATTTGGAGGGTGAGGTGGATGTGGATGTGGATAGGATGCAGAGGCGGCGCTTGAAGGTGTAGATGCGGTCGACGTTGAGGAGGGTCAGGCCCTCGCGCGAGAAGACGACTTCGTTCTGCAGGATGGATCGCTCGATCAGGTATTCGTTTGCGTGGCGCTCGTGGTGCGAGCGGGCGAGTGCGTCGGACCAGCTCTGGCCGAGCGAGAATCGGGCGGCGGCCTTTGCGATGGTGCGGGTGAGGGTGCGGGATACGGAGGGTTCGAGAGTGGTTGAGGGGATGACGATCAGGTCGGAGGGCTGGCCGGTGGGGTAGGGCTTCCCGCGGCCGACGAGGAGCGTGACGTGCATGTGCTTCTGCTGGAGCTTGTAGGAGATGTACTCGAGGGCAGGGATGATGGATGGCGTGAGGGTCTCGGAGTCGAAGTTGAAGTCGGCGGAGAGCGGCGAGGAGATCATGTCGGAGGTGACGCTCCGGGGGGAGTTGGGGACGTAGACGCCTGTTGGGCGTGGGAGGCGAATGGCGACCATGTTCACTATATCGCTATAGATGGTATGGATAGAGGATTGTGGTGTTGCAGTTGCAGTTGCACAGCTTGCCAGGCACCGTGAGCAGGGACCAACGATAAATAACCCTCTCCTGGAAGAGGGGAACGCCTAGCCAACGCACCCCTCCTTCCTCATTATTATGACATTCCCTTTTCTAATCATAGCAAAATAATCTAATATGGACAGCGAATAACAGACTGATCCAGCACAGCGGCACCCAGTCAGCGTTGGAGCCGGTCGATGGTTAAGCGCCGGTTGGTGTGAACATGCAGCCCAAGGCACACTTCCTGCAGCCACGGCACATTCCTTTCGCTAGCTGCTCACCATCATCCGCAATTGGCGAGACCTGACAGGGTCGGGCTAAAAAAAGGTCGTTAATTTACGACTGCTATCAATTAGCCGTCTTTTGGCATGTGTTGGTTTTTCCGGATCAGGACTCGCGCATGGTGTGCCTCGTGTTCTATAATAGCAAAGATTGCAGGACCACCGCAGGTAGTCAAACTGGAATCCAAGCTGTCAACAGTCGGCACAAAGAGGAAGAGGAGAGACTCTACTCCCAGGCTTATGATTGTCGTTATCTCGCCCCTCAACCGCCTAGCGGCATGGCATGTGCGTGAACGGGCTCCAAAACGGCGGCAAAGTCGCTCAAGCAACCGCACTTCCAGATCCGAGTCCAAGTCCAGAACAAAACCAACAGTTACTGTAGATTCCAAGGATCCTTCCTCCAACAGAACGACAATCAAGCCCGTGCCCTGCTGGCCACGTCAAGCGGGGTAAATCCTCCGATTACTGACTGCAGGCACTATCGTCTTGGCCTGGCGCTTATGTCCACCAACATGCGCTGATCAGTCAGTCCAACATTGCATTGCATTTTACTCCGTACCGTCTTCTGCCTATACTAACCGCGTCTTTAGCCGTTTACTTTCGCCAGCGGCCATCCTTTCAACTGAACAAGGAGCCCGAGCCCCGTTATCGTACCCCGGCACCGTCAGCAACACATGCAATCCCGGCGTCAGCTCACCCCGGTCTTCCACGCGAAACGGGCACGGCTATCCTTCCCCTCGGATAATATCATAATATAACAAGCCTGCTGCGTGCGCTCTGACATGTCACATGAGATACGGAGTCTGGGTGCCTGTCTTTACGTTCTCAAAGTACGGAGTAGACCTATCGATTGGCGTCCATCCCCGGATAAAGATGGCTGTGGGTAAGCGACGGAGACTCTGCAGGCCGCTTAACGACTGGATCCGGGCGTCCTCGTGTCAATGGGGCAAAGACCAACTCCACGTGCATATTGCGGTCTACCGGGCCCCGGCAGTCTCAGCTCAGCCCGGTGCTGAGAGCATCTCGCGTTTGAGCCGGGGCAGGTTATTGTGCGAGCTTGGGCATCGAGATTACCATAGCCTGCGAGAGGGGCTCTCTGCGGGGCTGATGAAGAGTGCGCTCAGCAGACTTGTGATGATATTCGGATACATACCCACAGTTTGACGTTTCCAAGCAATGGTGCTTGTTGTTCAGACTGGGATTGCCTGGGTCGATTCGGGATAGCTTACCCCTCTTTGAGCGGTTGGATGCAATTCCCTTGATTGTTCAAGCCTCGCTCCATGAAGGTACATCCTGTCCTGGTATCTATGTCACCGAGCATGGCCGCGCAAACTAGCTAGTATGTATGACAGGTGGAACTTGATTATATGCAGGCCATATCAGCCGCATACCCTACTGATGGAGTTCCCCTTGTTTTGTTCAAATCCGTCTTCATTAAAACCAAAATCACATTCTAGGTTCACATTACACAATCAGGATCCTTCAAACAACTTCCGCGATACTCCCAATATCAAGTCCGGTTCCAATCTGCCATGGTCCCTGGTGGTGCCAATCACGCCCATCCAGTTGGTGCCAACGCCATGTGCTTTCCCTTACCCACAAATGTTGCAGCCTGCGACAACACGATCCTGTTCTTCACCTCCACTGCAATCTTTGTTCTCCAACCGGCCGTCAACCTCCGATCATACGCCTGCCACAACTTGGGCAGGAACCTGACGTCCTGGACACAGTATTCTACAATCTCATCCTTCAGCGGTCGCTCATTGAACACCTCATAGCTTCCCCCATGTTCCGGGGCGAACAACTTAACCCCCTTTTCCTTGGTCTCTTTCCATTTCCGCCTCTCTGACGCAGTCATAGCTGCGTCGTACTCAATGCACTTCGCCAACCCGTTGACTCGTCTTCGGGAATAACCTCTGGTCGCTAGCTCCATTAGTTGCAAATCCTGAATGCCAGCAAGGTTAATTTGGAAGTGGGCGTAGAGCGCATCCGAGTCGTTACGGACGTCAAATATGACTTTCGGGATGGACGGAGATTCAAGGATGCTCTTTAGGGTTGTATCGCTGCCAGTGCCGCTGGCGGAAGATTTAGTTGTAAATGCTTCTTTCTTAAGGGTGTGAATGTCAACAAGATATGTTTTATCATGCGGCCAGACGTAGATCTGCAGAATGGAGACCGTCCCATGACGCGACAGATTGACGCCTTCCAAGTCAATGTATAGAGATGGTGGGCTGGTTGGCAGGTCTTCCAGGGACTTGAGCATATCGGACACTTCCGCGGGCGTTGACACCAGTTTGGTTACTGGTTTATCCTGGAGCTGCGTTTTCCCGAGACATTCTGTAAGGGTGGTAATGTCGGAGGTGGCGACGGTCAGCGAGGAAGTACGAATGGGGTGCTTCGTTATTATCTCCTCCAGCGTTGGACGGTCTGTGTCTATGGATATGTCAGAGATGGATGGTTTACGGACATCAGAGCGGAGAACAAACGTGAAAGCGACATTGTAATGCTTCAGTAATCTCAGAAGGCAATAAACGATCGGAGAAGTTGCCATCTCCTCGTCTTTATATCTGCTGCGCTCAACATGGCCATTGACCTCGTTGGCTCGGGGGTGCCCTCCGAGGGAGTGTCCGGACATTGTATCCATGATCACCGTAGCATGCAGTGACACTTCCGCGGCTTTGGATGGTCGTTCCGTCAAAGTTGATTGCGTGTTCTCCGGAGATAAGTTGCTGCATATAACCTATGGTCTCGGGATGGGAAGCCGTACGTACTCCCCAAATATCGGTTCTGTTCGATCATGCGCCGGTCCGATTTACCGTGAATCCTAAAGCAATTCTTTTTGAACGGTCAGAACCTTGAGAGGTCGCCATAACGGTCTATAGATATTCCAATCCAGTCAACCCTCGCATAAGCTTCGACCGGAACCTTTCACTGCTCTCTCCATCCCGGTTATCATAATCTTTCCGAGCTTGAGATTCTGCGAGAATCGAAGCAATGCATGATGGGCTCCACGGTAGCGACTCTGTCGGTGATGTTGGATGAAAAGCCGGTGTTGGCGATCGTCCGGGTTCAAAACGCATGCTCTATGATGTCTGAGCTTGAGTAAAACTTGGCGAGAGGCCCATTCAACTAGGCCTTCCCTTTCCCAGCAGGTGTCCCAGTCAAGTTATGCGGCGAGAGAGTGGCTGGAGGCTTCTGTTGCTGTGCTGCACGTAGCAGGCTCCAACGTGGTCTGGCAACGCGTCAAAACGGTAAGAGCCCATTGATCGTGGCAAGGTATTGTCACAAAGGATATAAGGTCGCGGCTGGCCGTCGAGAAGCTCAAGGCGCGTCAAGCGCCGTGCTGGACAGGGATTTAGGTCATGGCAATAAAGCAGCAAAGCCCTCCGAGGACCATCGGAAAAATAGCTGGTTGAGGAAGCAACTCCTAGTCCCCGGCATCTGCCGGACTTTCATGACTGCCCGAGCGCTGGCGGGCCATCCTGGGAGGAACAAAATGGATGAACGCGGTAGGTGCGCTGTGCTAAAGTTTCCGAGGTCTTGACACTGGATTGTTGAAGTCTTTTCATACAGCCATCTTCACGCGGGTATTTGAAGGGCCTCCTGTATGTATAATCTAAGATCTTGCTGCACATGATGTACTAGAAAAGACAGGAATAGTCAAGAATTTGCACGTGCTGATGGAAAAACGATACTTAGTGTACGTCCAAAATACCTAGCTGCGTAGCTAGGTTACCTCGAAAGAGAATCATGTACGGATGAGGATTGTACTGGATCTCATCTAGTCTGCCACACTGGTAATCGGGTCTAGACGGAAGCGAAGTGCCACTTATATATTCAGGTGCGCTGGTCCTGGAGCAAATATCGAATGTTTGCTAGATTCTCATCAAACGACGTCATGTTTGGAAGTCCCAGCTCAACCTGGGACCTTGTGTTGTCCTGAGGACATAGGAACCCTGTATAACTAGGCATAGTGGTTGCTACTGCATAATACTTGGTGTAAGAACAAAGACGAATGCCGGAACTTACTGAGGAAGACGAGGAGATACGAGGCGATTCGCATCGTCAAAAGTTCACTTCCTCCGCATGATCCCACTGTACATCTTCCCAGGTCATTCCTGTCCTGAAAGCCTTAGGTTCAAGAAGTTGCACCCCAATCTACGGATACCTAGATTATGCGCTGAATCCGACTGGGCTCAGTTTGTCCACCTCCGTCGGGGCTCAGATTGCGTTCGCGTGATGCCTCTTCCCTCATCTTCGATCCGTACTATGCAGTCCCAGCCAGTTTTAGTAGCATTACGCTGTGCATCTACCATCTCACCTCCCCTGTGCGACCTAATTGCATTCTAGACTGCCAATCAATGATCCCAATAGTAAGCTTGAGAACGGTCCGACGAGATGATCCCAAATTGTCGTAGACCACATCCTACCCCTCTGTATGACGACGAAGAGCGATACATGTGGCACTCGAGTGAGCAAGGAGACCAAGGGATCTGAGCGGACAAGCCGGGTATAGGAGTTGAGGTCGTTCCCCGTGTTGATGGAAGTCTTCCATGATCAAATCTTTCTTTCGGAGTGAACACTTTCAGCGAGGTGAAGTCTGCCATTCCTCATTGTTCTTCTTTCACAAATCCCCCTTGCCTAGAAATCGGATTATCGAGCAACGTGGCAACCTATAAAGTAGGCGAAAATGAGGAGATTATCGGCAACACGATAAAGCTGGGAGACGGCCGGTGAGGATGATTGATACAATCAATGTTGTCGCATTGTGATGCAGAGCCCCAAAGCTTGTGAGTTTGTCAGAGGTGGCAGGTCCTGTCCTTCAGAGAGCTTGGGCAAACTTCCTAGGCTAGAACTTGGTGAGATATCCATAGTTTGTGCAAGGTCACGGTTTATGCCAAATGCTTCGTTCTAGAGTGCAAGAAAAGCAAGAGAGTTGGGCCAATGAAACGTTTTCAGTGCGGTGCACGGCCAATCATGATTTTTCAGCTAAGGCGACGAGCAGGAGAGGTTGCAAGGTCATATTGTGAGTCAGCCCGCTGAAAAAGAGCCAAAGTTGCTGGTGACTTCAATTATGTCCAAGTGGCCAGGTACGAACTCGTCCCCGGTGACCGGGGGATATGGGGCCATCACGGAAATCCCTGGAACGATTCCTTGGAAAGGATGTCGGCCAGCAGGAACCATGGCTCTGTAAGTTGGTTTGGTAACAGTGTGGTCTCGGTGAGTTTGACGGTCGGCCAGACCAGGTTCCCAAGGCTGTTCCGGTTGCCCAGTGCGATCTGTATCCTCGTGTTGAATCCGCCTTGCAGCTATTTTGAGGCCGGGCACAGGAGGGAGAGTAGACTGTTTATACGGGGGTGCCGAAACGGGTGAGGCACACGAGCCATCCCTTGTTTTGTGCTGGCAAGGTCTGCCTTGTAAGTTGTGCCCTGTGCCCTGAAGGAACGAGCCGCACAAGAAAGTTGGTGGAAGTCGAACCAAAAGCTGGAGATAAGAGCAGTTACCTAACAGCTTGCACGTGGTTGGTCGGGAGCTGCTCTCCAGCTTCCAGAACATGGAGATCCCCACCGTTATCGTGGCCTGGAGAGCACAAAATGACTTTATCGCCACTGGCTGTGCTTGGCGCCAAGAGCACACAAACAGCTGCCACTGTGACACGAGCGAGGCGCAACAGCAGAAGCTGCAGAAGGCTGAAGCAAGGCATACTCTGTATTTTGACAAGGCTCTCAGGATTATGGGAGAGTCATGTCGGGCAAAGCCGCTTACTCTGGAGGCAGCCAGGGCAGGCTAGGCTGGCGAAGTCGTCGACGCCAAGCCGCCCCCAAGTGGGACCGATTAAGGTAGCATTCCCCGACTCCATCAAATGATGGGGAAATATGTAACGTAAGATGATATGCTTAAATCTCCAATCTGCTAAGTAGTATCCGACTGTCATACAAATGACTGATCAGCGACGAATGACCTGGGCAGGTACACTGTCCGCCTTGTGCCACCGGGCTCCTGCTCCTCTGGTCTCGAGTCCTAAACAAGCGTCGAGTTAAGCAGTTAAGAAGCTCAAGCCTTCGGCTTATCTCTCATACGATCCATTGGCACTCGGCCAGGCCGTGGGAGCTTATCGCGGGGCACACCATGGAAGGTGCCAAGCTATCCGCCCCAAGCACTGGGCATTGGTTAGCGGCAGCCACGCGATGCGACCTGAGCCACGGAAGATTGGGATCATGGCTGCGGAGAATTCGTCCTTATCAGCACACGACAGGTTCGAGTCGAGTCTAGCGGCTCAGCCTCGGCGGGTTATTCACGGAGGTTGGCCTTCGGCCTCCGCTTGCCTCTTCTTATATTTCCCCCTCCCTTCCCTCTTTCCTTCTTCTCCTTACTTCTCATCTGCTTCTCCCTCCCGTCCCGCGAGCTCCTAGAATCCTCTAAGCGACATGGGTTACGAGAAAGACGACGGCATTTCCGTCGCCCCTCAAACCCCCCAATATGATGTCTCTCTCGCTGAGAAGGGCGTCCTGGAGGTGCCCCAGGAGAATGAGCTTCATAGAGCGCTCAAAGCTCGCCACATTACTATGATCGGTGAGAGGTTCTGTCGCACACCGCGCCCGACCTAGCTAACAAGCTGCATCTAGCCATCGGCGGTGCCATTGGTACAGGTCTTATTATTGGAACTGGTTCCGCGCTCGAGAAGTAGGTACTCCAGTTGCGACCTTGCCATAATGCAGCTGACTAACGGACGTCTAGGGCTGGTCCCGGCTCGATCCTCATATCCTACTCGTTCATGGGTTTCATCGTCTACCTCGTCATGTGTGGTCTCGGAGAGATGGCCACTTGGTTACCTCGTTCTTCTGGTTTCACTGGTTACGCCGTCCGCTTCTGCGATCCTGCTTTGGGTTTTGCGCTTGGTTATACGTACGTCGCAAACGCTTTCATAAAGGGGAAACGGCCGCTGACAACGACGTGACAGGTATTGGTTCAAATATATCATTGTTACGCCGAATCAGTTAACAGCCGCTGCGCTGGTCATTCAATATTGGTTGCCGGCCGACAAGGTCAATCCTGGAGTATGGATCACCATATTCCTGATCCTGATCGTCTTCATCAATTACTTCGGCGTTGGGTTCTTTGGAGAATTCGAGTTCTGGCTCTCCTCCTTCAAGGTCGTCGTCATCATCGGACTGATTCTACTCTCCTTCATTCTTATGCTGGGAGGTGGCCCCGACCATGACCGCAAAGGTTTCCGCTACTGGAAGGATCCGGGAGCTTTCAACTCCTACATCGACCTGGGCCCAGATGGCCAAGGCTCGGCTGCTGGACGCTTCTATGCCTTCTGGGCAACTTTGGTCTCTGCCACCTTTGCGTACCTCGGCACAGAACTCGTCGGAGTGACAGTCGGCGAGGCTCAGAATCCCCGCAAAACGATCCCACGCGCCATCAAGCTGACCTTCTACCGTATCCTCTTCTTCTACGTGATTAGCGTTCTGCTCGTCGGCACCCTGGTTCCTTACGACAGTGAAGAACTCCACGATGCAAACTCCGCGTCCACCTCTTCAGCCGCCTCCCCCTTCGTGCTGGCCATCCAGCTCTCCGGTATCCCTGCGCTCCCCCACATCCTGAACGCCTGTATCCTCGCCTTCGTCTTCTCCGCCGCCAACTCAGATCTCTACATCGCCACCCGAACCATCTACGGTCTCGCCAAAGAAGGCAAAGCACCCAAGATCCTGACCAAGACCGACCGCCGCGGCGTCCCATACGTGGCTCTGGGAGTCTGCACCCTCATCGCCCTGATCTCCTACATGAACGTCTCCAGCAGCTCCAAGACCGTCTTCAAATACTTCGTCGACCTCGTCTCCCAATTCGGTCTCCTCAGCTGGATCTCCCTCCTCGTCACACACATCTGCTTCGTCAAAGCCCGCGAAGCCCAACAAGTGCCCAAGAGCGAGCTCGCTTACACCGCGCCCTTGGGAGTCTGGGGGTCCTACTTCGCCCTGTTCTGGTGCATCGTCGTCTCCCTAACCAAGAGCTTCGACGTCTTCACCGGCGACACCTTCAACTACAAGACCTTCATCACCTCCTACCTCGGTATCCCTCTCTACCTGATCCTCATCTTCGGGTACAAGTTCACAACCCGCTGCAAGCGCGTCCTGCCCCACGAGGCAGACCTCTACACAGACAAGGACGCCATCGACCGCGAGGAAGCCGCGTACCTCGCTCAGCAAGAAGCGAAGAGGGCCGCGCAGGGCAAGAACCACAAGCAGGCGAACTGGTTCTACAAAACGTTCCTCTCTTGGCTGTTCTAGACAACGCACTGGCATTTTGTCTACGTCTAGTCTTACGTGTATTAATGTTTATGTCTATGCTTAGCTTACGCTTATGGGTTGGGTTAGATTGCCATACCTTATGTATCTTGGTATAGCTATGAGAATCATGCTGTTGTCACGATTACCGTCTGTGAATCGTTGTTCTGCATACACTCCGTAGATGCTTGTATAGCGGTTCGGACTCTCTGTACTCGGCTCCAACCCTACCCTAGAGCTCCCCGCCCTTCAATCCCAGATGATAGGTCCCTAGTAATATCCTTGAGCCCATAAAAGGGTTACATTATTCAATCAGTACAATTCGAGTAGTATACTCCGACGCGCTTCGGCCACTCTGTATATTAGGTTTGCGGCTCCGTCTACGGTGGGTTATTATGACGCAGGCTGGGACTCGGACCGTTGTCCGTATCTAATCCTATAGTGCCATACAGAACCCAAGAGAAACCAGTATTAGTAAAATGCTACAGAAACCAGATTAGTAAGAACCCTACAGAGCCCAGTATTACTAATGAGAGTATTCGAAAAGAAAAAATATAAGGCCCATTCCTGATGGGCAGATTGTATTTATGGTTGCTGTCATTATTCATTACTCGACATGTGTAAAAAGAACTACCTACTTGGTTTGGTGATGGTTTGTGGTGATGGTTTGTGGTGATGGTTTGTGGTGATGGTTTGTGGTGATGTTTGGTGGTGATGTTTGGTGGTGATGTTTGGTGGTGATGTTTGGTGGTGATGTTTGGTGGTGATGTTTGGTGGTGATGTTTGGTGGNTGGTGGTGATGTTTGGTGGTGATGTTTGGTGGTGATGTTTGGTGGTGATGTTTGGTGGTGATGTTTGGTGGTGATGTTTGGTGGTGATGTTTGGTAGTGATGTTTGGTGATGTGTGTTCTATCGAGGCCGATGGAAGTCGAGAGGTTGCTGAATCCTCGCTGGCCCCCACTTGTCGTAGACTATTTCCAGGTCCTCATCGGGGTCTCTGAACTCTCCCTGACTTTCACGTGACTCGTCGGCGAAAACCGATGATTTCTCAGCAGAAGGTTCCTCAACAGCCTGGAACTCGGCCTCCCAATTGATGATGTTGCTGACTCCAGGGTGGTCCTGCTCCATAAGAAACTGGCCAAATTTGAGAACAGCGTTGAATGCTTCAATCCCAGTGGGGACTATATACTCGGGTGGCAGGAGGAATCCGTAGCTGCCGCGATCACGCAACTTGATCTGGTAGGCGTAGCGGGTTCGCAGCTGGTGATAGAACCAGTCAAGCGCGCTGCCGCCGGAACTACCGCCTACCGGGAAGAAGCTCTTGGTCGACTTCTCGGCATTGGCAGGCGTTGCGATACCCTCGCATGCAGACGTAACATCGTAGGTTTCATGTGTTGTTAGCCGGATGACTTTGGCTAGGCCGAGACCAAGCTCTTCCAGACTTTCTAGAGTAGGTGGAACTGATGAGCAGGAGTAGGAGAAGGGGTAAAGTATTTGCTGGGAGTAAGAGTGAAGGTCTAGAAACCCGACGATTCGAGCGTTGTTGTGCTCTGTCTCGTTGAGAGCCCACTGCGCTAGTTGTCGTGCCTCGACGCCTTCGAACGGCTCCTCTCCTGCGTAGTTTTCAGAGCATGGGTTGAATTGCGTCTGATCGCCGTCCCATTCAAACGACCATGACCGGTCCAGGTCAATGCCGGGACAGAATCGGAAACTGGTTGGTTGTCTGTTCTTGCGCCATAGACGGTCAGACTCCCAAGTATAGACGTATCCGTCCGGGTTAGTCGTGGGAACCAAGACCCAATCGTAGTCCTGCAGCATACTGGTCACCGCCGCTGATGTTCCATACTTTGTCATCAATTTATAAGCAATGTGCGTGACCGTGGAAGTACTAATCCACTCCCGGGCATGGTTGCCGCCAACTATGAGAATCATTGGACGGGGTTCGTTTGAGTCGGAGTTACGCAGACGGCCCAAACGTAACGCGGGAATCTCACGGCCTTCGTAAGAAAGGCCAACCGTAATCATCCGAACATGCGAAGAAAACATGGACGCCATAAGCTGCATCCAAGGTACAATGACCGATAATGGCTGATACTCGCGAAAGAAAAGGTCGGTCGAGCGAGCTGATGATCTGGATTTGAACTGTGTGTTGAGTCCAGAGGGCCGATGAGTTGGGAATGTGTCGGATATCATTTCGGGTAGGTTATCGATGAGAGGAGTGTACGAAGTCTGGAGGGAGTCTGGCAATAGACCGAGTAAGGAAGGTATCTGTAATCGAAAGGGTCAGCAATCGCGTCCGGACATTAATTCCCTCAGAAGAGTCTAGAAACGTACGACTTCTTCGGCGAGTCGAATATCAACAAACTTGGGGGTCGAAGCCCAGACATCCAGGAAAAGAATGTTGGTGGCCTCCGTCAGCGCCTTTGCCTCTGATATGCTTTGGATTCGAAATCGAAGAACGACGTCACTTCCATATCGAAAAGAGCCCTTGAGAAGGGCAGTTTGATGGTGAATTGATGAAGGTGTGCGAGCCTTTGTAATTCCCCATACTGATTCGATAATCCAGTCTCGAATGCGAGTCCATGGTCGTTGCGGATCAGACGGTGATGATAAAAGAGACACGGCTTCGACGGGAGGCGGAGGAGTGATGCTGGACCCGGCGGGAACTGCGGCGGTCGTTATCGCCGATGTGGCCAGCACCAGAAAATATAGCGAGCGTAAATAGCGCATTATAACGAAAGCGTATCAGTATGTCATTGTTCTGTTGTAGTAAGAGTTGTTATACAGGAAAAAGAAAGAGAGGCGTAATGGAGATGGATGGGTTGAAGATAAGAGCAACCGTGGGAGGGTGGCAGCTGCTGCCTGAGCTTTGAGGCAGGCCGGGCAGTGGTCGCACCTTCCCAACTGGCTGCCATTGACTCACTCTGCAGTTGTACTCCGTAGGCCGTCGGGTGTACAGAAGGCTTTCTGAGTCTGGTCATGAAAGCTGCCTACCCTAGGTATGTTCGAGCCGTCCAATATTTATCCGACAGCACTTCAGTCCGAGTTACAATACAAACTATTTCATCTAGGCATCAAGATACTCGACTCCGTTCTGCATTGGGCTTAGTGGCCCAGATTTCCGGGACGATTTTCTCTCCAGCTTCGCCTGCCCCAGTCTCACGGTCTGGACTCTCTGAGTTCCTTGAACACGTACTCTGGAATGCAAATGTTGAACGTAAACCCTCCAGCCTTTCAGAGTCCAGAACTTTCCCATCGTCCTCTGGTACTCAAGCTGGACTGCCGAATCGAATAGTATTGTGCTGTTTTTGCTGGTGTGCTGCCCTTGCTTATGGCCGCTAGACTCTACAGCCCCGGCCAAGCACTATAGAATCAGCGAACCGTTGACTCAGATGCTCACATTCCCACTGGCTCTCTTTCTATAGTCCCTGATATTAAGATATAAATACCGTCAACTTTTAAAGTACCAATTGTCGACCGTTCTAGCAGTGTGGCTCATCAAAATATAGAAGCACCCACCGCGTTCCACCACCACGCAGCCTTTTCATCATTTACATGCTCTGTACACCGTTACTCCGTAGGCTCCGATTGGGAATCGATCTGTAGGATAGCACACGAGCTTACGAGTTCTTCGTAACTGGTTTCCAGTTCTGACCGGGCCTGCTCTATGTGGCCCAGAACACACGTGCCTCGCCCAGCCTGCCAGGCTTGTTCGCCGACCCGCCAATTTCTCGTCCATCATCATCCTGCATCGTCATCTCAGCTCCTCGCTCCCCTCGATATCTCCTCCTGGCCTCATCTCTTTTACCTCAACAGTCCTCCAACCTGGATTCATCCTTACCCCGTGGATAGAACGCCCATAGTTGCCGGACCCTTCCCGCCCAGGCTAATTTCCACAAGTACCTTGGATCCTCCAGGCCCGTCTTCGCTCCCCTCACTGTGTCGACTGCGCGCCTTATCGGGCCTGTTTTCTCTCCACGAGTTTATGGTCAAGAAATGTGAAAAGGGCTCTAAGTAGTTGGGCATTACCATTGACTCGGAACCGCAGCGTCTATTGTTTTCTTTTCGACCGGGTCTCCCGTACCCCTTCGCCCCTTTTTCCCCGGTTTCACTCGATCGTCAGCTTCGTCTCTCCCTCCTTGTCGGCTCGACTGTCTTCATTACCTCTCCTTCGATTCGCAATGACCAGTAATCCCCATTAATGGTGGTTCCTCGATTCAATTCGACCCGACCGCATCCCCGCACACTACACTCCGACCGCAGTGCCGCCAAAAATAGACGGATGTGATCGAAGGGATTGCGCATGGGTCTTTTAGGCATTCCTCGTTGCAGGGTATTCTAGGATCAGGCCCTGCTCAGATTTGCCATCGCCATGCATTGGAAAGGATTACGACTCGGCGCGTTATATGACAGCGAATCCAAACGAAACTTGGCCGAACCGCAGTCCCGCCATAGCGAGCAGCTAGCTCGGTCTACCCTCTCAGCAACGAACCTACCACCGCGAATATCCGAGTCCTCCGCTCGTTCACCACTTTATGCAGGGCAGGATGATGATGACCATGGTGAGCCGGAGCAGGAGAACCATGGTGCCCTCGCTGCGGGGAATACGTCGCTCAAGAGCAAGATCCCCAATGCACTACACTCAAGTTGGGACCCCTTGAATCGCCGCGGAAACCGTTTCAGCCTCATGAGGCTTCGCCATGCTTCTGACCCTCAACTGTCAAAATCTTATGCTAAAGGAGAAGCGGACGTTCCGCCAGTGCCGAGTATACCTCGTAAGTGAACGCCTAAGCTCGTCGCTCCCCTTCAATAACTAACCCTATCCCTTGCGCTACAGCTCCTACCATAATCACCACCGCACCCACAAGCCATGAACTAGACCAACCAGTAAAGCGAAAGAACAAATTCTCGATTTTTCCAGACTCAAGGAAGTCTATGGAAACATTGCCAGAACAACGACCCGTCCGCAACGATCAGGCCAAACAGTCTCAAGACTCAACCGGGTCGCAGAGTGCCGATACTTCATTGACAGCATCGAGAATTAGTACTGAAGAGCCGGGGCGCCTCTCAACAACATCAATTCGAAGTGCCGGTCGCGATCGACCCAACGGTTCACATCGCTCTTCCGTGGTGGATGTCCGATTCTCCGAGTCTTCTCGCTCCGATCAAAGCGCTGGAAACAACAATGACATTTCTCGAACAAACTCGCCAATCGGGGGCACAGGCCCTGGTACAAAAAGGTTTCGCATGCCCCGCTTGAAGAGAAACCGCGTCCAGTTCCCGCTACCTCCAAAACCCACCGCGGACGATGGACAGGTACCGGCCTTAACCCAGTCCAGATCCGTCCCTGACGGGCCAGCTCGAAGGTCCGACGCGTCGGATGCACAGGACCACATCTCCCCATTACCATCTCCTTCTCGGTCATCTGCCGGTCTATCGGCCACGCGTCCGCCTTTTGCGCGAAATGATTCAACAAACTCCGCCCATTCCCTGCATTCTTCGCCCTCGGTTCGAGATGGGCTCAACCGACGTTTGTCGACCAAAAGAGCAAGGTCGTCCACTCTGGACTCGGTCACCAACATACGGGATACCGAGCCGCAACCATCCCCTAACCAACCCTCGTCTGGCAGAACCTCGTTCTCAACTACCGGCCGTAAGAGCTTTGGTGACATTTTCGGCATCACCCAACGCTTGCGACAAAACTCGGAACCAGGTTATTTCCGAACCAACAGTTCACCCGGCGGTACAAAAGCCGCGCCCTCACCTCTTACTAAAGTCATGTCTTATCCAAAACGAGAAGATGGTGACACTCCCGCTACCTATCTTGCACGATTGGAAGAGACCATCCCAAAGAGCACAATTGCTGGAGTTCTTTCTCAATCGGGCGAGGACTTCTACAAAAATGCGTTGCGAAAGTTCATGCGCGGATTCTCTTTCTTCGGCGACCCTATTGATATGTCGATCAGAAAGCTCTTGATGGAAGTTGAATTGCCAAAGGAGACCCAACAAATTGATCGCTTTCTACAAAGCTTTGCAGACCGATATCACGAATGTAACCCGGGGATCTTCGCATCTACAGGTATGGTCTTGATCATTCGCATTCCCACCTTGGTTTATACTGATTACTTGTATAGATCAAGCATATTTTATCGCTTTCTCCATTCTCATCCTACATACGGACGTGTTTAACAAGAACAACAAACGTAAAATGCAAAAAGGAGATTATGTCAAGAATACACGCGGCGAGGGCGTGGCAGAAGACGTCTTGGAGTGCTTTTATGAGAACATATCTTACACACCTTTCATTCGTATCGAGGACTCCAACCTCAGCACACGCCACTTGGCAAAGCCTAAAAAGGCTTTGTTTCGGGTCCCGAGTGCTGAGAATCTTTCCCGTGCATCCAGAGGAGAGCCCGTTGACCCTTACGCTCTGATTATGGATGGAAAGCTTGACTCCCTACGGCCAAGTCTGAAGGATGTCATGAACCTAGAAGATCCATACGGCTGCAATCCTACTACAGGCCCGGCAGATATTGACAGCTTACATCGGGCTTTCGCTCAGTCAGCTATCTTGCAGATCGTCTCTGCGCGATCCCGCCCCGATGCTTTCATGCCGGCTAGTATGGAAAATCCCGCTGATTCCAACCCGGGATTGGTGGACATCAAAGTTGCTAAGGTTGGATTGCTCTGGCGTAAAGACCCAAAGAAGAAGAAAGCTCGCTCCCCCTGGCAGGAATGGGGCGCCCTTCTTACCTTGTCGCACTTGTATTTCTTCAAGGACGTGAACTGGGTGAAGTCCCTCATGGCTCAAGTCGACGCTCACCAGAAAGAAGGTCGCCGGCGCGCTGTGGTGTTCAAGCCTCCATTGAATAACTTTAACCCGGTTGCGATGATGTCTACAGACCATGCAGTGGCTCTACTGGATTCCAGCTACAAGAAGCACAAGCACGCTTTTCTCTTTGTACGTCCGAATTCCCTCGAAGAGGTCTTTCTAGCCAACAACGAGACGGACATGAATGACTGGCTAGCAAAGCTCAATTATGCGGCAGCGTTTCGCACTACGGGGGTCGGAGCAAAAGGCATGATGACCAAATATGACGCCCAACGCAACCGAATGAGTCGTCGGCCCTCATTCCAGTCAGAAATGTCTCGATTTTCTCTAGACAAAGAAGCCACCTCTCCAAGTTCTGGTGTAGGTGCAGCCGAGGAGTTTATGACGGCCAGAACAAAGCTCATACAACAGAAGATCAGAGAGGCGAACGAGACGCTTTTCATCACCCAGAAACAACTCGATGACATTCTGCGGAACGCTAGGCATCTCCAAGTTTTGACTCCTGTCCATACACGTGCGAGAGAACAGCTAATCATGGCTGCCGGCCGCATGTCGGCGAAGCTCAAGTGGGTAAGGCAGGACATCTGGCGCACTAAAAGTCACCGAGAGGTACTGGTACGCGATCTAGGCGAGGACAACGATCAAGCTGGTATGGCACCTGAGCCACAGCGTCTTCGCTTGGAAATACCAGCGTCCAACTCACTTTCTGGTAATGGGGGTGAGGCGGTCTGGGATAAACAGTTGTCCCCAATGATTACAAAATCTCCAAGCATTGCTCCTGAGAACTCACCGTCAGTCCAACAAATGTCGTCGCCATCATCTAGTGTTGGTGGCGTACGACGACCCAGTCTAGCTACCTCCGTGACTTCGCCGGATGTCATGCTGCGTGCAGGCAGATCGCCGTCAGTAGACAATGTCAATGAGCGAGCAAATTCGGTTTCGCCCAATCCACCATACCCGTTGGAGCGTGAGGCTTCGGTGCTCAGTTCTGGCAGCAAGATGGACGTTTCGAGCCTAGCCTCTAAGACTTCGAAGTTAACACTTCCCGGAAGCTGCGATGATGGCGAAGAGCGTCTCCTCCGTGAGGTTGGACTGTTGGATTCGAATAAGTCTTCTTCTCGCAAAGGGTCGGTGACGGTCGATGGTGTGGATTGCGAGTCGAAGGAGGATGCTCCCGAGGGATCCCAGGATCGGATGAGCCGGGTCCGCCACAGCTTCCACCGTACGTTACGCGATTCGTCCGGCGGCCATCACTATCCTCGTAGTAGGAAACGAGACTCTACACCGAGTGTTACCGCTGTAGAAGACAGTCAAGGCTCCAGTGAATCGGGCGGTCTCTCCCGCAAGGGTGGCAGCTTCACTGTGCATGGCAAAAAGGCATCCATAGTGACTTTCGGCTCTGACTGGCAGAATATGCCACCAGAAGAGCGCCTGAAACTTCGAAAACCTACCCCTTTTGAAGAGCCGCGAGCGTCGGACACGGATCTCGTTAGCGGTGGAGAATCAACTCGCTCCGGATTGCGGGCGTCGTTGGACATCCCATTGAGACTTTCCGAGGAGAAAGTCGAGGATCGACTCGATACGCGCTCAGTCCTCTCCGAGGGCGCAGTTTCCGCAGCCTCTCACGAACTCATCTCGCCGTCAACGATCATCCATGAAGGTTCTCCCTCCGTGGCGGTTCAGCAAAGTCCCGTTGACGAACCCCCGACACCAAAGCTACCACAAGCCATCCACGCATAAAGGCCGTCCTTTTAGTCGACCATGACTTTTTGTTCTTGTGACGACAATTATACCCTTTCGTTTTACTTTTTCCTTGGTTACTTCTCAGCGTCTATTCTCAACATTATGCATCTCTCTATTCTGATCGATAGACTTACTTACGCCGAATACGGTCTACTTTACCTTACCTTACCTTTTCTTTTTCTTTTTACTGCTTCATTGATACTTGCATGGTCGAGTGGGCGGATGGTCAATTTTTTGGGTCTGAATACATCGAGATAGGACTTGTTTGCTTGTTGCTTGTTGGTAGCATTCACTCATGGGGTGACTGGGCAGGGACGGTTGGCATATATGGTAAATACAGCATATAGTAAGGGCAATTCAAAAGTCAGATTTGATGAATACACACGCTGTCTATTCCTTTAATTTGTGCTTTGTCTCTGTTGGCTTTCTATGAGGTCGTTATCCATCAGCCCTTTCACCTACCTTTATCCATTCATTGCCTGTGCCTATGTCGCCATGGACCACCATGCCGAGAACACAACTTCACAACCTCAATATCTTAAGTTTCTCTTATCCCCCTCTCCCTCTCCCTCCCCCTCCTTCTCCTCTGCATCCATCCCGCGTCTTCAGCGTCTATTTCTGGATGTTGGAGACACCAAACCCGACGCAGCAAGCCTCTGGTCTTTCACAGCCAGGGACAAACGTCTCCATACCTACCTCTCGCTCATCCGTTTTGCCTTGGACCTCATTTTCTTCGCTTTCTTCCATTTAATCTGCCCTTCATTCTCCCACCTCCATCCCAACAACCACACCTATCCCAACGACCCTCATCGACTTCGTCATCGAGCTCCTCTACTTCCTTGCCAGTATGGGCACCGACGCCTGGAGTGGCTTGTTCGCTCTAGCGACGAGCTACCTGAGCAATGTCAACAAAAACAGCTTTCTGAGCGACCTGGTTGAGTTGCTCCTCCTGCTCACCATGCAGCAGCTGTTAGGTTTCTTTGAGTCACGTGAGTCTCCTGCACGCTATCCCATTGCCTTGTCTACTCTTCCCTGGCTACCAAACACAACACAACAAAGAGCAGAGAGCTCGCTGGAGTCAGACTTTGTGGCTACATTTCCCTTTCTGGTTCCGCCTATCGTGCGTTCCTTTGTTTGTTTAGTCAAGGACCTGCACTTTTTTTACTTTGCTAACTCTCGTCTTGTCTTGATAGTTGGGACTAGAACGCCTGCTGGAAGCGTTGATCGCGACGCTCAGCTTGAGGTTCAAGTCGATCAGCTTGAGCCTGCTAAGGCCGAGGTTGAACCTGAACCTGTCGCTGTGGTTGAAGACACCTCTACTTCGGTTGCTGGTTCTGAGCTCGACTCAACATCCGAGCCGGTGTTAGTGCCTGAGCCTACTTCAGACCCTTTGGAGTCGGAGTCGGAGTCTGTCCTTGTAAGAAACCTTGCCTCTGCCTTCCACTCCTCTATTGATGCTTATTGGAAACCTTAGGATCAGGTCGACTGCGAACGCCAGACAGAAACCCCGCCGCTTGCGGATCAAGCCAAGGGCGTCGAGCCTGCGAGTAACACCGAGGTCGAGAGCCAAGATCAAGACGAAGAGTTCATCGAGAGCAAGACTCAGCCTGATAGCCAGGAAGAAAGTCTCTTTGACGAGAACCAAAACTTGGACGAAGAGCTTATCGAGAGCGAGACTCAGACTGAAAGCCAGGAAGGAGGTCTCCCTGACGAGAACCAGAACTTGGGCGAAGAGCTCATCGAGAGCAAGTCTCAGGCTGATTGCCAGGAAGAAGGTCTCTCTGACGAAAACCAGAACTTGGGCGAAGAGCTCATCGAGAGCAACACCCAGACTGATAGCCAGGAAGAAGGTCTCTCTTCCGAGAACCAAAACTTGGGCGAAGAGCTTCCCGAGAGCGAGACTCAAACTGAAAGCCAGGAAGGAGGTCTCTCTGACGAGAACCAAATCTTGGACGAAGAGTCTATCGAGAGCGAATCTCAGACTGAAAGCCAGGAAGAAGGTCTCTCTGACGAGAACCAAGACCTAGGCGGACAATCCTCGATTGATTCCGAGCCTGCTTGCGAGCCTGAATCTGAGACTGAAGGCATCACCAAGACCGATCTCCATCACCAGCACGAAGAGCTTCTGAGCGAAGGCCAGGAAGGAGGTCAGGACGAAGAACTCCCTGTTGAGAACGAACAACACGAAGGTCACGTCTCAACACAATCCGAGCCAGCCCTTCAGCTCGAGTCTGAGACTGGAAACAACATCGAGACTGAGAGTCAACATCAGCACGAAGAGGTCAACCAGAGCGAAGGCCAGAAAGAAAGCCAGGAAGTAGAACTCCCCGTTGAGAACGAAGAACTCGGTGGCCAATTCTCGACTACATCTGAGCCAACCGTTGACCTCGCCGTCTCCATCGAGACTGAGAGTGAAAACTGGGACGAACTCGATATCGCACACGACAGCGAGGAAGACGATCACATCGCTAGCAACCGGGACAAAAACCAAGACGACCACATCTGTACTGGATCTGATCCGGTCCTGGAGCTTGAGAGTCCGTCTGCACCTACCTCTGCAGTAACACCTGAGCTCCAAGTCCAAGCCCAGGAAGAAACGTCTACTGTTGTCGAGAATCCAGGTCACCTTTCAGAAACACCGATCACTGGACCGGCGATCCTACGAGTGAAACCTGGCGCACTGGTTCTACGAAACAAACCAGGTCCATTGATTCCACATTCTCTTCGTACGCGCTTGCGCTCACCGTCACCGTCACCATCCTCTTCCCTTTCTATGATACAACGTTTGGGTGTGCTTGCTCCATCAGAAATGCCTCGCCCAGACCTTTCAGCTTTGCCGGCTGCGTTGGCTCACCTCTCAGCCGAGCACCTGCAGCTCCCCTTCATCGATGAGCACTTCAACGGCTCCATTCCTAAGAACAACAAGGATTGGCAATCGGTGAGAATGGCGCATGAGCAGCTCGTCGCCGTCAACATGAACCGCGCTCAGGACCTCGGCCTTGACGTGAGCGAACCCATCGCGTCTGGTGTTTTCGAAAAGCGTTGGATCAGCGATAGGATGGGCTACGGTCTAGTAGCGACGAAGCACATCCCTGCCGGTACGATTCTGTTCGCGGACGCGCCGATGACTATGTGGAGATGTGAGTTCAAGGAGAGCACGAGCTTCGAGCAGTCGAACGATATGATCCTGCAGAAGGCGAAGAAGATGGGACCGAAGTGGTACAAGGCGTTCCAGGCTCTCGCTGGAGGACGGAAGAAGCCAAGCTTTGGTCTCAAAATACGCAATGTTGGTGTTGCCGGTGCGATCTGGGACGATTTTGCTCTGCCTCTGGCGTGGGAGGGGAATATCGGCGAGGTGCTAGGCCTGAACCTCGCTTGGGTGAACCATGCTTGTATCCCGAACTGCATTGTGCGCTACAGAAACCAGTACCCCAAGAACGAGGCTGGGGAGATTCTCTATGACAGTATGCCCAGGATGGAAAGGGCAGTTGTACGCGCTTGTGATGATATCATGCCTGGTGTGGAGATCACTGTTGCGTATATTCAGTCAGGAGAGACAACCAAGGTGAGACGGGCAACTACAAATCATCGGTGTGGTTTCCTCTGCTCATGCCGAATTTGCATAATGCCGCACACTGCGGACAAGGCCATGAGCTATTACCGTCACCTCATCAACATGGTTGAGGATCCGGATATCATAACTAACCGACCGGGTCTGGCGTACTTGAATGCGTCCTTACTAGTCGATCAACTTGCGGCCATGCGCATCCACGATTCCCGGGCTGTCAATGTCTGGATGAAATGCGGCTTGATTGCGGGTCACCACACCGACTTGGCAAGAGCGTGGTGTTTCCTCAGAAAAGCAAGGGAGGCTTGCCTCATCCTTGAGGGACTTACTGGTAGCGATTATCGTCGCATTGAGGGCTGGTATCGGGATCCCACCAGTATGGCGGGATTTGGGGGCACCCAGAGAGGTCTGAGCTCTCGTATGAAGGCCTTCCCAGTTTTTACCGACGGAATGATGCCGAGGAGAATGCTGTTTATGCTCGATGCACAGTCTGAAGGGTACATTACGGTGGACCGCTATCATCCTCTCCCTCGCACTGATGGTGATGATGGACAGGCCTTTGAGATTGTCAAGGGCCCTGACCACGCACCGCGTCCGCTCGCGATCAACGCCAAAAAGCCGGCTGATATGTGTCGCTGTAACCGCAGCTGCAAGACCGTCGCCGAGCGGCTGAATAACGTTCGCAAGCAACGTAGGAACCCCGGGAAATTGCAGGGCGATGATACCGCCCAGAATCCGGATTCCGAATGCGTTGACCCTGAACACGATTTCCTGACCGGTGTCATGCAAATCGGGACAGATACGTTCGGTAAGGCCGCGGTAGATGAGGAGCTGGAAAGAGATGATGTTTGTATCTGCAAAGTTTTTGGACCCCGCGATGAGGACCAAACTAGTCTCAGCAAGACGGGTATCAGCTCAGATCGCTTGGACGACCATGATGAGGACGAATTTGAGCGACGTCTATGCGCCCTCAGCTTAAAGTCCAATAAGGACAGCGAGAGCACTCATAGACAGGAGGAAGAGGCTCAGGAGAAGGAGAACAATCCGAAGGAGAACGGTCTGAAGAAGAAGAACGGCACGAAGAAGGAGGACGGCATGAAGCAGGAGAATGGCTTGAAGAAGGAGAATGGCTTGAAGAAGGAGAAAGGCCAGGGGAACGGTCTGAAGAAAGGCAAGCAGCCATTGGTTTCCGACGTTGGAGCGAAGATGCCCGCGGTCAAGGATGTTGGAGCTGAGAAGAAACCGCAGATTGTGAAGATGGAGGATTTTGTCTATTGCGATGCAGGTGTTGAATTCAAGTAACCTCCGTCCGCTTGGTGCTAACACCTTGGTGGGATTTCTTGATTCTTGATTTCTTTGAATTTCCTGGATGTTGGAGTATGAAAGCCGATGGCTTCGATCCATTACAATTGGCTCGTTGCTCGTCTTGTGTCGTTTTTTTTTTTCTCCAGGAATCACAAATAGCAAATTCGTTAGTTACAAATGGAACACGTTGTGCAATGGCTCCTGAGTGCTGAGTGCTGCCCACGAGCTTATAGACGCCATGCATAGACAATCGTCTGCTTTGAAATGTGAGAGGATGACTGGCTGTTGCGGCCCGAGTCAAAGCGGGGGGATCCCTGGAGTCATCCTGGGCGCCCTTGTTCCTGAAGAACAACATTGGCTTCAAATATAAGAGGTATTTCTGGATGTAAAATATGAAGCCTGGTCGGAACGAGGGCCTGGACCATAGATCGAGGGGCACATGTGGCAGAAGCAAGACAAAGAAAGATGAACGGGCGACGATCTCCCCATTCTCGAGGACTCCCAAGGTCCTCACTCCTCACCACCTGCCACCGCACCTTATAACCTTGCACTCCCCAGAGGGCGGGAATACCATCAGAGACGGACTCGTACTGAGTCAATCTCAGTATCTATACTTTGCGAACTACGATCCTCTGCTGCTCCATAATAGTACTCCGCATCTCCACATCGCTGGCTTATCTAATAGCTCCGTCATCGCTTGACGTCTTTTCTCCAACTCAACTCGTATCCCCAAACTCCATCAACCGCCCTCATGGCTGCCTCCAACGACCTTCGGGGTTGGGTTATGAGCGCAGTGTCTGGCGTGGGTGAGTACCTGGACCCTGGTCGCTGGCATCCCAGCTAACAATTCAGCCTGCGTCCTCGGGTCGTCCGTCATCTGCGTCGATCTTATCCTCCGCCGCTTCTGGCCCCGAAGCCACTTTCAAATCGTCCACAACAATGCCTTCCTTTCTGCATCGCTATGCCTCAGTGCAGGAGTTATCGTAGGGATATCTTCTGGTACAAGGCCTTGTTTTTCATGCTGACATGAGCTTTAGCTTTTCACTTCACTTTATAGCATGCTTCCGACCTCCCGCGAATACCTCATGAAAGCCGGCTGGTCTCCCTCTCGATCCGCATATGCCCTTATCGGTCTCTTTATTGCCGGGGTGATTGGAATCCGTGGGCTCTCGGCCGTCTTACACAAATTCCTGCCGTCGCATGTGGTGGATTGTGCCCATACCCATGATGCATCACCCCACGACGGCTCCGACCTCGAACAAGGCAAAGGACACCCTCCGTTAAGAGTTCGAACCCACAACGGACTATCCGAGAGAACTCCTCTTTTGACTTCAACAAAGTCTACACCTGCGGTGGTTGGCCTCCGGGGTACTGGACGTGAGGTGGGAGATGTCAACCGTTCAGGCCGCGAACCCTGGCGGGTCCGCCTCGGACGACGAATGTCTAGTTTGATCGGGGGCGCAAAGGCTCACTGCGACGAAAACGGACCTTGCTATGGGTTTTCGCAAGCCTGTGGTGACGAATGCTCGAAGACTCTTGTCCGCTCTGCCATCAGCGCAGACGATGCCTCTGACACAGACATCCAGGCTCCTGGGGTTTCGGCGGATGCTCCCAGCTCCTCCTCTGACATTGACATGCCGGACGACGCGCCCTTTCCGCCTCCGAGTGAGCCCGAGGAACATTCCAAGCACCCGGTTGCTGCCCCTCAGCACCACCATCACGTACCGCAAAACGCTTTTCTTTCCATTGGACTCCAAACATCTGTAGCAATAGCCCTGCACAAACTACCCGAAGGATTTATCACATACGCAACTAACCACGCGAGTCCGACACTGGGGATGACAGTTTTCTTAGCGCTCTTTATCCATAATATCAGCGAAGGCTTTGCCATGGCATTGCCTCTTTACCTCGCCATTCATTCTCGTGGGTGGGCGATGTTTTGGTCTAGTCTTCTTGGAGGCATCAGTCAACCTGCCGGTGCTGGACTGGCAGCGCTCTGGATTTGGGGTGCCCGGAAAGCCGGTAGTGGAGCCGGGGACGGCCAGGATGAGACCTCGTGGGCTGTCTATGGCTGCATGTTTGCCGTTACAGCGGGAGTTATGGTGTCCGTTGGCTTGCAGCTATTTACCGAGGGGTTAGTTCTAACCCATCAGCGAAATATGGCCATTGGATTTGCCATTGGAGGGATGGGCCTCATGGGCTTGAGTTTTGCTTTGACGACTTAATTATTTAATATCTTCTTTTTGGATCAAAAGAGCTCGGCTTGATGCATCTTCATCCGGAGTTATGTTGCAGGATCCGGATTGCATAACGACTGACGATATCATTATATACTTACGATAGAACTGAAAAGGACTGATAAAAGTACATTAGTCTTAGACTAAATCAAATTCTTTCTAGAAGCGAATTGTTTATAATACTAGCTTTTGCCTATATGTGGAAGACGCCAACGCCTTTCATACATAATATTTTACTAGCCCAGTGTTAAATACAGAGCATGGAACATCTACGAGCCCTTCGCAGCTGCTTCTCGCTCCCTCTTACGCGCAAGATACCGCTCGCGCGCACTCGATACCTCTGTGGCCGATTTCTGACTGCGACTGCGCTCCGCAATCTCCTTCTGCTGGGCTGCTTCGGCCTCCTCGCGTTGCCGCTCTTGCTCTTCCAACTGCTCCGCAATCATCTCGGTCTGACGAGCCCGCTGTCCCGCACGGCCAGCAGCCTGTCGAGGATCGACCCGTCTAGGACCAGCACCAGCACCAGGTCCCGTTCGCGCCGCAGCAGGTGCAGCAGTCTTGGGTTTTGGTGCGACATTCAGACCCGCCGAGAGCAGCTGTCTCTTATCGACAACTTGCCCGTCATCATTGACGACGATATGAGCACCGCGCGCGTTCAGTTCTGCAGCCTTCTGTGCCTCCGTCTTCTGTTCCTCCGTTGTTTCCGCGGGCACCTCCCCACCGGATTCTTGTATCTTCTTCGCTGCCTCCTCCGTCGCCTTCATAGCAGCGTCGTGCTGCTCCTCGCCGCGCGCCAGTAAGTCCCGGTAGAACCCGACCATCCCCGACCCTCCGTTCTTCTTCCGCCGCTCCTCCTCTTCCTGCTCTCTTGCCTTCTCCTCCTCTTCAACGCGCCGTAACTCCTCCTGCTGCGCCTTATACGCACTCGTTACGAACTTCTCCTTATCATCGAACTCGTCGCCCTCGGCTTCTCGCTCCTTCGCTAGCAACCTATCCCGCGCGCGCAACTGGTCCCGCTTCCGGATCTCCGCGCTCCGTAGTAAGGATGTCATATACTTCGGTACACCCTCACCATCCGCATTCGCCTTATTCTTCTTGTCCGGTTTCGCATGTAGACTATCGTATACGGCATCGTAGGAGTATATTGACGGATCGAGATCCTGCGCCTCCGAGGCATGTTTCTTGCTTTCATGTAGCGCGGAAAGGTTGGTGTATTCTCGTTCTCGGTCTTGGTTTTGGTCGCGTTTATTCGGCGCATTGTTTAGCCCATATGTTGTCTCCGTCTTTTCGTCCTTGTCATCCTCGTCTGCGAATATCGACGCCTTGCTCAACGGCTTGATCTTCGGTTTCGCGCCCTGGCCCAGCGGAACGACCTTGCGCTTTGCGGGGCGTCCGTCGGAATTGGATTCTGTCAATGACTCCTTCTTCGTCATTGCGGTTCCAGCATCAAATTCAATCCCTCCCACTGTTGTGATCTCGGCTTCGTTTGCGGTGGCCCCGCGCTCGTCGTCGGAGTCCTCGTCGAAGACGGCTTTTTTGCGCTTTTGGCTCCCACCCGCGAGTGGGTTCTTTTTGGTGAGATTTAATTGCATTTTTGGGGGCATATTCCTTCCCTGTGTGTAGCGCTTCTGTAATCGGAACTGTACCAAGTGAAGTCGAAGGACAACGGTTGTAAGTTCTCCAAACAACGTCAGTCGTTCTCTTCACGCCCGAGCATATCAGCACGTGACACGCTCCTATCAATCCACTCCGCCCGATCTCCGTGTCAACCTCCGCAATTATTGTCCAGAGCTCCCGTCCATCACCCATTGCACTGCCGGCCATCCAGGTACAAACCCGGCAAAATGTCATACTACTTTACGATTCTCTCCCCAACCGACGTCCCCCTCTTCAACATCGCCTTCGGCACCTCCAAATCCGGCGGCGACGGCATCGCCCGCTTTCGCTTTCCCGATGCCGCCCAGAACACATACATGACGCAGTTCATCATCCATTCGAGTCTGGACATGCTCGAGGAGGCGCAGTGGATGGGTGGGAATATGTACGCGCCGCTTTCGCCACCAATAGCTTGAAATAATTGTGCGCTAATGTGTCGCGGCAGGTACCTCAAACACATCGACACATACCCGCCCGCCTCAGCATATATCTCCGCGTTCCTTACACCCTCCGGTACGAGATTCCTGTTGCTGCACCAACCACCGCAGCCGAATTTGCCTGCTTCGGGTGCCGCCGGTGCGGGTGGGAGTATCGGGTCGAGCACGATGAGTCTGAGCTCTTCGGGCATGGGAGGGTCGGGACTCTTTGGGGGGTCGGGGATGGGCTCGTCAGGACGGACGTCGAGTAGTTCTATCGCGGCAAATCCGACGGCGCCGCAGACGGAGGAGGCGGTTCGGCAGTTTATGACGGAGGTTTATGAGGGGTATGTCAAGACGGTGATGAGTCCGTTCTATAAGCGGGGGATGGAGATTCGGAGTCCGGTCTTTAGGTCGAAGGTTTCGGCTGCTGGGAGGAAATGGTTATGAGATCTCTTTTTACTTTATCATGCATGGTCTTTATGGGCGAGGCGTTGTTCTGGTGCTTGTGCTTTATTTTATGGTCTTTGTGTTTCATTGGTGTGGTATATAGGATCCATTTTGAGATCGAAGATGGAAAACGCTAAGTTGCGACAAGTACAGGAACTACAATTAGTCCAAATCAAGACGTCATTTGAGGGGCCAGCTTCTTCACAGTGACGGCCTTGAAGTTTTCCACCGCGTGCACCACGTCCTCCAGCTTAGCAACTGCGCCAAAGATTCCGCCCTCCATCTTCACGGATTCGATCGTGCTCACGTGGAGAGCTGGCTCGCTGGCTGCAGTGCCGTCTTCCAAAACAACACAGTCGAAACCCCGATCATTAGCTTCGCGCATTGTCGTGGACACGCACACGTCTGTCGTCACGCCTGCGATGACAAGGTTCTTGACACCTTTGTTTCGGAGCAGGAGCTCGAAGTCCGTGTGCGCGAATGCCCCCCGACCAGGTTTATCGATTACCGGTTCGCCGGGGAGAGGATACAGCTCGTCAACAGTATCATGTCCCAGTTCACCGCGAATTAGGAGTCGGCCCATTGGTCCAGGAGAGCCTATTCCTAGTCCGGATGGATTATTCTGTGACCGATATGCTTCTCGACTTGAGAGGGTGGACAGATCGGGTCGGTGGCCTGGTGGTTGTCAAAAAAAAAAAAAAGATGAAATGGGTTTCGAGCAGGCTATTTACCTTCGCGGGTATGGTACACTGGAAACCCGGCAGACCTGAATGTATTTAGCAGCTGTTGAAGCTTCGGTATCAAGTCCCGTGCAGATGATATGTCGTAGCCTTGGGCCTCCATATATCCACCTGGTGCACAAACTGCTTTGTGGTCAGTTACACCTGAAGATAAATGGCAAGAGGAGCTACTGACAGTCTCTTTGCATATCAATAATGACCAAAGCGGTTGTATACGGCGTGAGCGTCGCATCATGCGGCCAGTCGTATGGAACGGCAGCGATCTGACCTTTTCGGACTTTGTGATGAGGAACCTGCCGTGGCTTCTCGACAATTGGACCATGGTTGTGTGTGTGGTTCAAGACTGTCAGCGTCCAAATGCCAGGAGTTCCAGCTGCGACTAGCATGAACGGGCAGTCCATCAGACGGGACGTGCGCCGCCGCTTCCTCGTCTCTTCAGTAAGGCCATTGCGCGGCCGATAGTGACCACCTCGGTCACAACGCAACCAGACCTTGGCCGTCCGCCCTGGCTTCTTTTCAGTGGGCGTACTGGACGATTTGACTACCACGTTATATCCATGGGCTTTTGCATGCGCTTGCACAGACGCAAGAAGCGATGCTCTGGTATTTCCAGATATGAGCGAACAGATTCCCATGTAACTACGGGCCATCAAATGACATTTAATGAAAGTACTTACTTGTCTGGAAATGTCCCTTCCGGCGGAGGTAGAAGCTGCATGGCCATCTCCGGGATGTCTTGAAGATCGCTGGGCGCATCGAGATTCAGATCGGTGGGGTCCGCCATGGCGACACGACTCGGGGCGAGCTTCCCTGGGGAAGGTCCTCTAAAACCGGCGTCAGCATCATAAAAAACGTCAAATCCTCCAGAGTATGTGAGGACAGAGAACACAGCTCGATCATAAAAGGTTAAAGTTAAACGGTGCGTGGCAGCAGTGCCCAAGAAGATATCGGGGACACGGCATCATCTCGTGCGTGGTCATAGCAGGTGTATGTCTGAAAACAAGTGGACCAGCGCCCCAAAAACGTGGCCGGTCGATCGAAAACAGCAGGACTTACCAGAACTCTGGAGACAAAAATATCTAGACGTTGACTCAGTTCACGAATTCATACACCTGTATGGCGCGCAATTCCAGCAACTTGGAGTCTGGTGCGAGCGTGCCGCGCAAGGCTGGAGTGAGGCAACAAGAAGTGTGTGTGCTCAGTGGACGTCACGTGCTGGGCAGCTCGTGACTCGGTCTTGACCAACCATAGAGGTGGCTATAGGCAGTCACTGTCAGCCCACATGTCTCTACAATGTGGTCCTAATAACACTACAGTTATATGAAATGAATGATCTGGTATTGCCGCTCGCTATACCGGTCTCATGAAGTTGAAGGTTGGCCCTCTCTACGAGGAGCAAATCGACTTTACAGGTTTTGTTTGTCATTGCTTAAGCGGCTCGTCTGGTAGAAATATATTTTGGGGCCCAACAAGACTTGCCCGAGTTTTTACAACATTCCGTAGTCTCTTCCTGTCAAAATCCATGATTCTGTCAAGGTAATTGTAACTCTTCAAACGTAGTGAACTGTACAGTCTTTACAGCGTAGCCATGTATACTCTGCAGGCAATACCAAGGTGCATCAGAGCCCTATACTACTTGCATCTGCCAAGTTCCACGCACTTGATGCCTAAAGATAAACAACCCAACTAAGACTATATTGGGCCTAGCAGGATCGCCATGGTCACCGCCTGGCTGAGGGAGACTATCCTGAGTGGGCTAGTCTGATGCTGTTCCCGTGGTCACAGCGCATCCACATGGTTCCCAGGCCCGGGTTTGTATCACCTCTCTTTCTCTCAACATCATCAATCAACAAAACCCCTCCACCGCGACGAGCACAATAACAACCGCCCTCAGCCCTCTGTGAGGGATGCGCTCAAGGTAAGTTGACTCGGGGCCGCTCTCCCCATCTTTTGCGCTCGCCTTTGTTTGCCACCTCTCGCGCTGCCGATAAATCCACCATCGCGATCTCCCCGTTCGCTGCGACACCGCCTCGGCCCCTCCAACCACCGTCACCGTTTCCGGTCCATGCACAGCGGCTCCTTCAACAGAACACCGAATACTGCGTATATGATCTCGATCGGCGGTCTCTGGCCTTGGCTACTCTGAACTCACTACATAACCGGCTCGCTTTCGCTGCACCGCCGTCAATTGAGTCTCCTGACGTGGACTCCTGGAACGTGCGCCCCCTACACCAGCGTCGCCTGGTGTGGGCATAATGCCTTCCGCCGATGAGCCCTCTACAATCCGCACGAACGGGACCAGTTCTCGATCAGATCAGCTTGCATACTACAAAAAGCAGTATGAGCAGCTCGAGTCCGAACTCTCCGATTTCCAGGCTTCCAGTCGTGAATTAGAGGCTGAGCTAGAGAAGGAAATCGAGGCGTCCGAGAAACGTGAGCGGCAGTTGAAGGAGAGGGTCGATAATCTGAGGTACGAAGTAGACGAGTGGAAGGTGAGTTAAATGATTCCGCCCCCTTTTCCCTGTCCTTAAACTCATCGTGTCTTCTAGTCAAAATACAAGCAGTCAAAGTCGGAAGCCAGCACTGCTCAGAACACGCTGCAGAAAGAAATTACTTCTTTAAGAGAGGTGAACGTGAAACTACAGCTGAAGCTACGGGACACCGAAGTCGCCAATGACGACTACGAACGTCAGGCTCGTCATACGACCTCATCCCTGGAGGATATGGAGTCAAAGTATAATCAGGCCGTCGAGAGGGAGGTTCTTCTGGATATGGAGTACAAACAAGGCGAGCAGGAGCGGGAGAGCTTGCGCATTGAAAACCAGCGCCTGCGTGATGAATTGAACGACCTGAAGATTGAAACAGAGATTGTTCAAGAGAGGCTCCGGAATAATGGCCGACGCCGACGCCCAGCACCTTTGGGTCGCACCCCTTCGACGCCGCATACTCCTGAGATCTTTGACCGGTCTCCGGGAGAATCGACTGTGTCTTCGCCGCTATTTAGTACTCCACCGACCAAGCTATCGCTCACACTGGCTTCTGCAACTGCCACGCCACCATCGCCTCCTATGTCTGAAACGTCAAGCAGTATGCGCAAGTCGTTAACCGCAGCATCAGGCTTCCCCCTGCAGAAAGCCTCGGCTTCCGAGTCCTTTGGTACACGATCGTTATATGGCAATAGACCGCAGAGGTTCCAAACTCACTCTCGAGCTACCTCCTTTGCATTCAGCAACGGCCGCTCAACTTCATCGGTTACTACTCGACCCAGCCTACCTAAGCCGAACAACAATATTAATCCTGCAAACCGCCCGTCTGCTATACCAAAATCTGGATCGCTGCATCAGATTCGGGGACTTATCGGCAAAATGCAGAAGCTGGAGGAGAGAGTTCAGTCCGCTAAATCCAAGCTACCTCCCCCGTCCGAAACCGCTTCAAGAACATCCTCGCGTGCGGGCTCTGTGCTCGATTCAAGCCCTGGCGCCGCCACAATAGCCATGCGTCGGGAGACTCGCAAGCGGTTGAGCGGCAGCAGCTTTAGCTCTTCCATCAGGGACGGCGACGGCGTACCTTCATATGTCACGTCTAGCCGTCCATCTTATGGAACCAGGACTCAAGGGGACAGTCGTCCTAGCAGTCGTACGAGCTTCTCCAGTTCTCTCAGTCACAGCACTCACCCAAGCGTGACGCCTTCCAACCGGCCAGAAAGCCGCCAGAGCCGTACGAAAACCCCGCTGGGCCATTATTCCACCAACCCTACCACCGAAAGTCGACGACCACGGTCGTCGCTTAGCAACCCTGCCGGACAGTCCACACCCGTCAATGGGATGTCATTCATAGATGAAGATGAAGACCTCGCGGAAGAGTTCAACATGCGTGCAACAATCAGCTCATCACGTCCTACTCGCCTTCCCTCGTTCTCCAATCCAGCCTTTTCCACACCAACTGGGTTGAAGAAACGTTCCACCAGCGGCATCCCAGCGCCTCGAAGCTTTCGGCGAACCAATACCATGGGACCACCCAAATCGAAGCCGACGGCCGGCGATTTGGGCGAGACATTTTAGATTGCTGCGCATTGGTTAGAACACTTTTTTGTTGATATTTCACGGCTGGAACGCTGTTTAATTGTCATACTTGTCCGTTCGGGAGACGGCTCGTTTGACCTTTTCCCTTCACGCTAGCTTCCAACTTCTAGGGTTCATGGTGTTACGGGAAGACTCTACACGGGGTCGTTTTACTCTAGTTGTTCATAGACTGGGCTTCGTGTTATATCTCTGCCACTTACTTGTACAGTCAGAGACTTGTATCTCAGGTGTGGCGCTTTTGATCGTTGCCGCGGGCGAAGCTCTCGAGAGTGGAAATCCGTCGGCGTCCAAGCTGTGTCTCAGCGTTTATTTCTTTGGGTTGTACATTTGGTCCTGTGTATCGTTGTCTTAGGCGTTCTAATACCCAGTGACTTTGAAATTGGAAATCAGTTTAAATTCCATCCTGCGTATTCGTGGATATTCTACAAGTTGTTGGTCTCTTCCGCTTCCGTCACGGTCGAGGTCGAGGTCCCGTCCACGGGTCCTACGACGGGTACGGGCTGTCCACTCCAGGGGGGAGGGCTGCTGTTGAAGCATATTACCCCATTAGGCCTAGCACCACGTAGACGTCATCTGTCCGGTGTCAACTAATTCCCGAGTGTCAAAGCAAGAACCGAACTTCAGTTTCCCAAGAGACGCAAGGCGTTCTCGGAGACACTCCGATGGCGTAGGAACTGCAGATCTTGCTTCCGCGTGCCGTTGTACTAGTCAAGTGTTTTCCTCGGACATCGTAACCGCATTCTGCTGACGTTATAGTTCGCCATGACTCGGCATCAACGGCAGATAGTTCACCGGTTAACAATAGGACAGCTCTGGACGACTATTGAGCCAGTGGGTTGGTGTTGGTTCGCGGCTCGGCAGGACCTTGGACTTTTCATTTTCTACAAAGCACTCCTCCAACTGTCAACTCCACGGGTAAGGAGCCACACTGCTGAACCTCAACCTGAACTGGCCGACGGCACGGTTACAACACTATGAGGGGCCGCCCCGGCAACTCCCCCGGCCGTGCGTGTCTTGAAACCTCAATACGAACCCAAGAAAGAAGACGTCAGGCTGGAAGCGGACTGCAGAGGAGACGGCAACCCGATACCCATGCAACCCTGCTCTGTGCCGTTACACTAGCACCGGGCTGCATTGTCCGTCTTGGACCCTGCGGTGGCCATTAGGCCAGGTTCAAAGCGAACACTTCATTTCTAGCTGGGCAGTTTTCAGTGTTGGCACCGAATCTCGACCTAGCCCACAGAGATGACGTGAGGCATCGCTGCCACCGCCCATGTGCTGCTGTTCCTGGTGCTTACCCGGCTTACGGTTCTGTCTTGAAGCTATCCCTGGCTGAATTTCTTGACTTCATCATATTCCATGGTTTGCGCAAAAGTAAATGCATGAGGCGCGGTGGGTAAGGTTATAGTCTAGCGGCATGTTTATCGGCTTCAAGGTTCTATCCACCATCTAGTGCCCGGTGACAAGGACACCCGGACCAATGAGATTACCGTTTCTGGCGACAAGATAATGCATTCATGAGGTTTTTAGGTGCCGGGCACCCCGATACGGTTGTGCATATCGAGCCCTAACTTTGTTCGGCACCAGGTTTACTGATTTACGACTAACCATTTGAGCCTAGCCAACGAATGAACGTGCACTACTCCGTACTTCAAGACGGATCGATCATCTCCTTGTGACTGTTTCCGCGAGTCCTCATGAGCTTGGGCCGTGCACCGGATAGACCCTGTCCCTGTTGTGCTAACGGCGCAGCGATTTTGTGACAGACATGGAATGATGATGACGAGACGCCGGAAAACAACCGATGGCCAAATCAAGAGAAAAGTCAATAGACTCCATGGCAACTAAGCCAGACTCATCCCTAAATTCCTGGCTGATCGGATCAATAACTAGGGCAAAATTCCAGCCATGAGGCTTAGGACGTGCACTTCGAGATGCCCCGCCATACCATATATGGTTAGGTTTCAGGAGATTTGCTGAGGGCGATCACTTCCCAAAGACCAACTCCCCAACGTGAGCACCATATCAGGAACCGATGATTGGTGGGATACTTGACCGGTACCAACATTTTCCAAAGGCGGCTAGTACATTTCCGGCTTCTCGTACAAGGCGTATTGTCCTTACGGGCTGAGATTCCACCGATAGCCGAACTACGGAATATTTTGAAAACAAACAGCATGGCTATTCCTCGACGCATATCTCTGGGAGTCTGGCATGTAGACTAGACATTAAGCTGATAGATCTGAATGAACAGCTGCTGGAGCTGCCAACTCAGAGGAATTGGAGGTTCCAGAAATAAAATACCGAGCGGAGTACCGTACCGAGTATAGTTGGCCATGCTACTATGAGGATCTTACTGTACTCCGTGTACTCCGGCCACCATGCAGTCAGCTTACAGCCCAGGCAAGCAGACAAGACGATGACACACTCATAGCGACACGAACGGCTCTGGGAATCCTGCGGCTGATTTATTTACTGATATAATCCTGCGTGGTAGAAGGCACCCGACGCAGTTGAGATCCAAATTGTCCTAGGGAATACGGGTGTATATCGATTACAGCCTTATACTCCGGAGAATGTAGTAATCGAACGCCAGCTGATTGGAATCAACTCTAGTCTCTGGAGCGGAGTATTACTCGGGGCCAAATGGAATCCATTGGAAGCTGGCCGCCCTATACAACACACTAAGGATCATTGGATAGATCTTAAAGGACTTGGAAACTCTAGGAAGCCAGGGGGGCATGGAACGGGGCAGAAAAGTGGTGGGAAGAGCGCGGGCGGCCCAACAATGCAGTTCAATTGGGGTGGGAATCCTGGCCGGACTGCGGATGATCCATTATTATTACTGCACCGTATCCAAAATACATTCCTGGGCTTCGGTCTTTTTCTTCTTCTGCCTTGACTCTGTACCATAATCCTCTTTCTCGAGGGATAAAAGAAAAGAAGATAGAATTCCTTTTCTCCTCTTATCCTCTTGAACCTCATTCCTGCTCTTCTTGACTCCCTTCATCCGGTGGTGGTAAGTACCATAGAATCATTCTTTCCGTTCCTGGCCCGCCGTACCGCCGCTTGCGACTGAGGCGAGGTAGCTTTCGATTTTTCTGGGACCCTTCAGGTTAACGTTGCTTCTGTCAGCCCAGCTCTTCTCGCATTCTCCTTCCGGCACGAATTGATTTCTCCTGGCACTTCTCTTCTCTTCGATTCTCTAACCCGGGCTTATCTTACACCCCTGTCGTTTCACGAATTGAACGAAAGCCCATATCCTCCCCTCTTTCCAGGACTTTTCGGGCTGTTTCCGCCGACTTTCTTACTTTCCCCCCGGACTTCTTTTCAACCAGCGCCTAGTATATATCGCATGGGAAGCGTTTAATACATAATACTCGAACAATTACTGCAATCATGGGCGTTCCAGACGGTACAACAAACGGCCATGGAGGCTCTCGCGCCGCCAAATACAACCTCCCCTCACATTTTATCGGTGGCAACCACCTGGACGCTGCTCCCCCGAGTAGCGTTAAGGACTTTGTGGCTAACCATGAAGGTCACTCCGTCATTACTTCGGTGAGATTTCCCAGCGCTAGTGGTAGTAACGGCGGCTGTCGAACTGAAAACTGACTGGGTTCTTTTACTTCCAGGTTCTTATCGCCAACAACGGTATTGCGGCCGTCAAGGAGATTCGATCCGTCCGAAAATGGGCCTACGAGACCTTTGGCAACGAGCGTGCCATTCAATTCACAGTGATGGCAACACCAGAAGATTTGGCGGCAAACGCCGATTACATTCGTATGGCTGATCAATATGTTGAGGTATGGGACGGACTTTTCGGGTAACTTAGAGGGTCAATCAGGGCAATTTGCTAAGTGGCTTTGCAGGTCCCCGGTGGTACGAATAACAACAACTACGCCAACGTCGAGCTGATTGTGGATGTGGCTGAGCGAATGGACGTCCACGCCGTCTGGGCCGGTTGGGGTCACGCCTCTGAGAACCCCCGGTTACCAGAATCGCTCGCTGCGTCACCTAAGAAGATTATCTTCATTGGACCCCCTGCCTCTGCGATGCGCTCTCTTGGTGACAAGATTTCTTCCACAATCGTTGCACAGCACGCCGAAGTGCCTTGTATTCCGTGGTCTGGAACCGGTGTGGATGAGGTGGAGGTCGATACGAGCGGCATTGTTACCGTGAGGGACGAGATCTACAACAAGGGATGCACATTCTCGCCGGAGGAGGGTCTTGAGAAGGCCAAGGAAATCGGGTTCCCCGTCATGGTTAAGGCCTCCGAGGGTGGCGGTGGTAAGGGTATCCGTAAGGTTGAGAAGGAAGAGGACTTCATCAACTTGTACAAGGCCGCCGCCAACGAAATTCCCGGGTCACCGATCTTCATCATGAAGCTGGCCGGTAACGCCCGCCATTTGGAAGTGCAGTTGCTGGCTGACCAGTACGGTAACAACATCTCCCTCTTCGGCCGTGACTGTTCAGTGCAACGACGACACCAGAAGATCATTGAGGAGGCGCCAGCGACCATTGCCAACCCCACAACCTTCCAAGCCATGGAGCGCGCCGCCGTAAGCCTGGGTAGGCTTGTCGGTTATGTTTCGGCTGGTACGGTTGAGTACTTGTACTCTCATGCCGATGACAAGTTCTACTTCCTGGAGCTCAACCCCCGTCTGCAGGTCGAGCATCCTACCACTGAGATGGTTACTGGTGTCAACTTGCCCGCTGCCCAACTCCAGATTGCCATGGGTATCCCTCTGCACCGCATTCGCGACATCCGTCTACTCTACGGTGTCGACCCCAACACATCGGCCGAGATCGACTTCGACTTCTCCAACGAAGAGAGCTACAAGACCCAGCGCCGCCCCCAGCCCAAGGGACACACCACTGCTTGCCGTATCACTTCTGAGGACCCCGGTGAGGGTTTCAAGCCTTCCAGCGGTACCATGCACGAGCTGAACTTCCGAAGTTCCTCCAACGTCTGGGGTTACTTCTCCGTCGGTACGTCTGGTGGTATTCACAGTTTCTCCGACAGTCAATTTGGTCACATCTTCGCTTACGGTGAGAACCGATCCGCCTCGCGGAAGCACATGGTCATTGCCCTGAAGGAACTGAGCATTCGTGGTGATTTCAGAACGACCATTGAGTACCTGATTAAGCTTCTGGAGACGCCAGCCTTTGAGGAAAACAAGATTACCACTGGTTGGTTAGATCAGCTGATTTCCAACAAGTTGACCGCTGAGCGCCCTGATACCACCATCGCTGTTCTCTGCGGTGCTGTCACCAAAGCCCACCAGGCCAGCGAGGCGCGCCTTGAGGAGTACCGCAACGGCATCCAGAAGGGTCAGGTTCCCTCCAAGGATGTGCTCAAGACTGTCTTCCCCGTTGACTTCATCTACGAGGGCAAGCGGTACAAGTTCACTGCTACCCGCGCCGGCCTTGACAGCTATCACCTCTTCATCAATGGCTCCAAGTGCTCTGTTGGCGTCCGTGCCCTGGCCGACGGTGGTCTCCTGGTCCTCCTGAACGGTCGCAGCCACAACGTTTACTGGAAGGAAGAGGCTGCTGCCACCCGCCTCAGCGTTGATGGCAAGACCTGCTTGCTCGAGCAGGAGAATGACCCTACTCAGCTCCGTACTCCCTCTCCCGGAAAGCTCGTCAAGTTCACCGTCGAGAACGGCGAGCATGTCCGCGCTGGCCAGGCCTTTGCTGAGGTCGAAGTCATGAAGATGTACATGCCTCTGATTGCGCAAGAAGATGGTATCGTGCAGCTCATCAAGCAGCCCGGAGCCACCCTTGAGGCTGGTGATATTCTCGGTATCCTTGCCCTTGATGACCCGTCTCGCGTCAAGCATGCTCAGCCTTTCACCGAGCAACTTCCGCCTATCGGTGCTCCTCAGGTCGTCGGTAGCAAGCCCGCCCAGCGTTTCTTCCTTCTGCACAGCATTCTGGAGAACATTCTGAAGGGTTTCGACAATCAGGTCATCATGAACTCTACTCTCAAGGAGCTTATTGAGGTTCTCCGCGACCCCGAGCTGCCTTACAGCGAGTGGAACGCCCAGTCTTCTGCCCTTCACTCTCGCATGCCTCAGAAGCTTGACGCGCAGCTTCAGAATCTTGTTGATCGCGCCCGGTCCCGCAAGAGTGAGTTCCCCGCCAGGCAGTTGCAGAAGGCCATGGTCCGTTTCATTGAAGAGAACGTCAACCCTGCCGACGCCGAGATCCTGAAGACCACCCTCCTTCCTCTGGTCCAGGTCATCAACAACTACCTTGATGGCTTGAAGGCACACGAATACAACGTGTTCGTTGGCCTTCTGGAGCAATACGTTGCTGTCGAGAAGCTGTTCTCTGGCAGCAAGGCCCGCTATGAGGATGGTATCCTTGCCCTTCGTGAGGAGCACAAGGATGACGTCGCCACCGTTGTGCAGATTGCTCTGTCTCACAGCCGTATTGGCGCCAAGAACGATCTCATTCTCGCCATCCTGGCTATCTACCGCCCCAACCAGCCTGGTATGGCCAATGTTGGCCAGTACTTCAAGTCTGTCCTGAAAAAGTTGACGGATATTGAATCGCGCGCTGCTGCCAAGGTCACCCTGAAGGCTCGTGAGGTCCTCATCCAGTGCGCTCTGCCCTCTCTCGAGGAGCGTCTTTCTCAGATGGAGCTTATTTTGCGATCCTCTGTTGCGCAGTCCCAGTACGGCGAGACCGGCTGGGCCCACCGTGAGCCCGATCTCGGTGCCCTCAAGGAGGTTGTCGATTCCAAGTACACTGTGTTCGACGTCTTGCCCCGGTTCTTCGTTCACAAGGATGCGTGGGTCACTTTGGCTGCCCTCGAGGTCTACGTGCGCCGCGCCTACCGTGCTTATTCGATTCAGGGTATGCAATACCACCACCAGGGCGAGCCTGCGTTCCTCTCCTGGGACTTCACCATGGGCAAGCTCGGTCTGCCTGAGTTTGGCTCTATGGCTTCTGTCACCAACCCTTCCACGCCTAGCACCCCTACCACAGAGTCGAACCCCTTTAAGCGCATTGCTTCGATCAGCGATATGTCCAACCTCCTGAACGACAGCCCCGATGCCACTCCCAGAAAGGGTGTTATTCTTCCCGTTCAGTACCTTGAGGATGCTGAAGAGTACCTCACCAAGGCTCTGGAAGTGTTCCCCAAGGCTGGAGCCAAGAAGCCCAGCGACCGCGGCCTTATCGCCTCCCTTGAGGGCAAGCGCCGCCCCGCTCCCCGTGCTGACAGCGAGTCTACTGAGCTGTCTGGCGTCCTCAACGTCGCCATCCGTGACATTGAAAACCTTGATGATGCCCACATCGTCGCTCAAATCAGCAAGGTCGTCTCTGGCTTCAAGGAGGAGTTCCTCGCTCGCCGCATTCGTCGTGTGACGTTCATCTGTGGCAAGGACGGAGTCTACCCCAGCTACTACACCTTCAGGGGTCCCGCTTACGAGGAGGATGAGAGCATTCGCCACAGCGAGCCTGCTCTGGCTTTCCAGCTCGAACTCAACCGTCTCTCCAAGTTCAAGATCAAGCCTGTCTTCACCGAGAACAGGAACATTCACGTCTACGAGGCGATTGGAAAGGGACCTGAGAACGACAAGGCTCTGGACAAGAGATACTTTGTTCGTGCTGTCGTCCGTCCCGGTCGTCTCCGTGACGATATTCCCACCGCGGAGTACCTTATTTCCGAGGCTGACCGCTTGATGAACGACATTCTTGATGCACTTGAGGTCATTGGCAATAACAACTCTGATCTCAACCACATCTTCATCAACTTCTCCCCTGTGTTTAACCTGCAGCCCAAGGATGTGGAAGAGGCTCTGGCTGGCTTCCTGGACCGCTTCGGCCTGCGTCTGTGGCGTCTCCGTGTCACTGGTGCTGAGATTCGCATCCTGTGCACTGACCCCGCCACCGGCATGCCCTACCCTCTCCGTGTGATTATCAGCAACACCGTCGGATACATTATCCAGGTTGAGCTGTACATTGAGCAGAAGTCTGAGAAGGGCGAGTGGCTCCTCCACAGCATCGGTGGCACCAACAAGCTTGGCTCTAACCACCTCCGTCCTGTTTCTACTCCTTACCCGACCAAGGAGTGGCTGCAGCCTAAGCGCTACAAGGCTCACGTTATGGGCACCCAGTACGTCTACGATTTCCCTGAGCTCTTCCGTGAGGCTTTCCAGAACTCGTGGACCAAGGCCATTGAGAAGAGCCCCAGCTTGATCGAGCGTCGCCCTCCACTTGGTGAGTGCATGGAATACAGCGAGCTGGTCTTGGATGACCGCGACAACTTGGTCGAGATTTCTCGCGGCCCTGGTACCAACACTCACGGTATGGTTGGTTGGATCGTCACTGCTCGTACTCCCGAGTACCCTGACGGTAGACGCTTCATCATTGTCGCCAACGACATTACCTTCCAGATCGGTTCTTTCGGTCCTTTGGAAGACAAGTTCTTCCACAAGTGTACCGAATTGGCTCGTGAGCTCGGTATCCCCCGTATCTACCTGTCTGCCAACTCTGGTGCTCGTATCGGTATGGCTGATGAGCTCATCCCCTACTTCTCGGTTGCATGGAACGACCCTGCTAAGCCCGAGGCTGGCTTCAAGTACCTGTACCTCACCCCTGAGGTTAAGGAGAAGTTTGATGCCAGCAAGAAGAAGGAGGTTATCACTGAGCTGATCCACGATGAGGGTGAGGAACGCCACAAGATTACCACCATCATTGGTGCCAAGGACGGTCTCGGTGTTGAGTGTCTGAAGGGCTCTGGTCTCATTGCCGGTGCCACTTCCCGCGCCTACGAAGACATCTTCACTATTACCCTCGTGACCTGCCGTTCCGTCGGTATTGGTGCCTACCTCGTCCGTCTTGGACAGAGGGCTATCCAAGTCGAGGGTCAGCCCATCATCCTTACCGGTGCTCCTGCCATCAACAAGCTGCTCGGACGTGAGGTCTACACTTCCAACTTGCAGCTCGGTGGCACCCAGATTATGTACAAGAACGGTGTCTCCCACATGACCGCTGCCAACGACTTTGACGGTGTTGAGAAGATCGTCGACTGGCTCTCCTTTGTTCCCGAAAAGAAGGGTTCTCTTCCTCCCATCCGGCCATTCTCCGACACCTGGGATCGCGACGTCGCTTACTATCCTCCCGCCAAGCAGGCCTACGACGTCCGCTGGCTCATTAACGGTAAGGAGGACGAGGAAGGCTTCCTCCCTGGTCTCTTCGATGCCGGCTCTTTCGAGGAGGCTCTTGGTGGCTGGGCTCGCACCGTCGTTGTTGGTCGTGCTAGACTTGGCGGTATCCCCATGGGTGTCATCGCTGTCGAGACTCGCTCTGTGGAGAACGTCACTCCTGCTGACCCGGCCAACCCCGACTCTATGGAGATGATCTCCCAGGAAGCTGGTGGTGTCTGGTACCCCAACTCGTCCTTCAAGACTGCCCAGGCCCTCCGTGACTTCAACAACGGTGAGCAGCTTCCCGTCATGATCCTGGCCAACTGGCGTGGTTTCTCTGGTGGACAGCGTGATATGTATAACGAGGTTCTCAAGTACGGTTCCTACATCGTGGATGCCCTCGTCAAGTACGAGCAGCCCATCTTCGTTTACATTCCTCCCTTCGGTGAGCTCCGTGGTGGATCTTGGGTCGTCGTCGACCCCACCATCAACCCTGACCAAATGGAGATGTACGCCGACGAGGAGGCCCGCGGTGGTGTTCTTGAGCCTGAGGGTATTGTCAACATCAAGTTCCGCCGTGAGAAGCAGTTGGAGACCATGGCTCGCCTGGACCCCACTTACGGCGAACTTCGCCGCGCTCTCCAGGACAAGGACCTCAGCAAGGAGAAACTTTCCGAGATCAAGGACAAGATGGCTGCCCGCGAGGAGCAGCTCCTTCCTGTCTACATGCAGATCGCTTTGCAGTTTGCTGACCTCCACGATCGCGCCGGCCGCATGCAGGCCAAGGGGACCATCCGCCAGGCCTTGACCTGGAAGAACGCCCGTCGCTTCTTCTACTGGCGTGTGCGCCGCCGTATCAGCGAGGAGTACATTGTCAAGCGCATGCTCCGTGCCGCCCCCTCCCCTGTACAGGGTGAAGGCAGCGGAGCCGTCGCCCAGGGCGCCTCGCCTGCCCCCAGCGACTCTCCCCGCACCACTCACCTCCGCGCCCTGCACTCTTGGACCCCCTTCCTTGAGTCCGAGGTCGAGAACGATGACCGCCGCGTCGCCACCTGGTACGAGGAGAACAAGGAGCTTATTCAGGAGAAGATCGAGGCTCTCAAGTCTCAAGCCGTCGCCGCTCAGATCTCCGAGATTCTCTTCAGCAACCGCGACAGCGGCCTGAAGGGCATTCAGCAGGCTCTCAGCTTCCTCCCTGTTGAGGAGAAGGAGGCCATCCTCAAGTCTCTCGGAGCCAAATAGATTGGTTCAAAGACTGTCTTGCCATAGAAGAACAAACTCTTCTCTTGAAGAGTGACTTGCTACATTGCTTTTCTGTTTCAAAGCGTTTTCCTTTCTCTTTCCTATTTTTTCCAGATGCTGATTTTGATATGGCTGATGATTGATTGATTGATTGTCGGTGGCATGTTTTCCTATTAATTGGCTTACTGGGTTAGAAGGCATTTGTTATGGTCTGGTTTGGTTTTTGCATATATACTGCTGCGTGTCTGTTACTTAACTCATGTTCTATTCAATGAATCATTTCAACATTGACTCCTAGCTCTGTGGGTAGATGTGAGTTTCTCAGTTAAAAGATGCGCCGTAGTCCCCGACAAGAATGTGCGGTTTCGAGGTTGCTGCCTCCCAACAGAGCTAAGCTATGGTTGGAAAACACTTCATCCTCATTCTCGCTCACAGTGCATGCCACCATGGCTAAGCAAGGTCTTGACTCTCATTCTAACAACAATAATCAGTTTCTGCTCTCCCTGCATGGGGTAACAATCAGAGGGCAAAACTCACATCTCATATTAAATAAGGAGCATATGCGCTGAGCCTTGAGAGCACGGACGCGTCTCGACTGCTGTCCGGACAGAGGCCCTGCTGGAGGAAGTCTATTGCGAGGCTCATTTACGATGGAGATATTGGATTTCTCTCATCGCCAAATTTGTCCTCCAGGGCCCTCTAAGCCCTCTACACCAATAGGTACATAAGCGCCTAGCATCCAGTACATCTGATTGGGTGTGTCCCTACGAGGGCCTCTCGACTCTCAATCCCCAGGCTCAAGTATGATTCTCCGTTCTCCTCACTTGCCAGCGATTTTGAAGCATTCCGTCATGAATCGAAACTCAGCGAAACGAGTGATTCTCCGTGTCCCAGAGACCGACATGGACTACCAGAACCCCAGGGAGTTCGTTGACTTCTACTTCACCAAGTTCCCCGCTGAAGCGGCGTCCGATCCAGCCCGCCATTTCATCCACTACCAACCGCCCAGCGACATCGAGGACCCTCAATCAAACCCCAAAATCCACATCGTCATCGATATCGAGACACAGGAAGTGTCAGGGGAGACTCTTAGCGAAGATTTTCCGCATGAGATCTATGCAGCTCGTCGAGGAACGTCTGGATTGTGAGAATCCATTTACCTCAATACATGTCGATCTTGTTAACAGTAGCCGACAGGCAGCTGTACGCTTATCCAGAAACCGTCAAGGAGAATCTCATTCAAAAGATTCGGGTATTCAGCGATGGATTCTATCCTTGGGCTAGAAGCAGGGGCGATAGAGAGCTCCATGAGACTCAGACTCAGGCTTTATAGATGACCGATTTTACTTTAAACAAGCCGAATTGATCTCCCTAACTTTGAGCCCTACGGAGTACTACGAATGGAGAAACCCGAGTATTTGACAGGTCACATGATCAGCCTAGTTGACGCGTTGACGCGTTGTTTACTCCCCGATAACGATAAGATAAGGAATATGATATCACCCAGGCACGTTCTACGGAGTATACCTGTCAACCAGTCCTCGCTATAACGAAACTTCGTTATATCGAGGAATTACTAAAAGTCTTATTTTGTCGCCCTAAATCCAGCCGCAGGCTTGTTAACTTTTAGCCCCTTTCCACCACCGTCCGCCAACCTACCTAGTCCTACTAAACCATCCACCATGACCTCGCCTAATGAACCTCTAGTAGCAGAGATGACTCCCAACGGCCTCGCCCTGACTCCAGCGCAAATGTATCTTGAAAAGGCCAAACAGACCCAGACTGCCGATGCCGCTGAGAGAGATGGCCCCGCCAATCTCTCGTCTCCAGCTACCAAGAAACGCAAAGCACCCATAGACAATCCCGACACCGACGACATCATCTCCATCACCTCCTCATCCGACAAAGAAAACGCCAACTCCAACGCCAACATAAATACCAAAAAGCCCACCACTAACCCACCCCTCACCTCCACTCCCAACCCAGAATGCGAGTCCTCGTCCGAGTCAGGAATGGATGATGACGACCTAGACGACCCAGCATACGACATCCCAAAATGGAGCTGCCAGCAGATCCGCGCCAAGATCCGCAAATTCGTCGAGACAGACAAGAAGATGAAAGTCGGGGCGTTCCAGGACGCGATCGGCGTGTCCTCGCGCTCGTACTACGAGTTCATGAAGCAGAGTGGGACGTGGAAGGGCGATGGCTCGTGGTGCTTCTCGAATGCGCATCGGTTTTTCATGAGGAGGGAGGTTCTGGGGTTGGATAGGAAGGAGAAGGAGGAGGCTAGGAAGGAGGGAGTCAGGAAGAGGGCGGAGGAGAGGAAGGCTGCTGCTGCTGCGAAGGAGAAAGAGAAGGAGAAAGAGAAGGAGGGTGATGGGACGGTGACAGGGCCAGTGGCGAAGAAGCCGAAGACGAAAACTTCAGCCTCTGCGTCGTCGGCTGCAATGAGCAAGAAGGAGAAGGAGGAAGCATTCGCGCGCAAATACGATGTCAGCTCTGTTACCTTACCCGGCGAAGAAACGTCCGACGTGCAAGTCTACGACACCTGCGACGAAGTGCGCAAGAAGATCCGCGCCGTCCTGAAAGACCCGCTCATGACACGCGCTGCATTCTGCAGGGAGATCTCGAAGACGTTTCCCGACCGCGCGGGCAACAAGGATAGGACGTTGCAGGGGACGACGCTGAATTCGTTCCTGTCGAAGTCTGGACCGCGCGAGGGACGGACGAGTCTGATTTTCTATGCGTCGTATGTGTTCTTTGAGAAGTTGCGGATCCGGGATGGGAAGGAGAAGAGTGAGTTCCGGAAGAAGATGGAGAGGGTTTGGCGGGGGGAGGGTGGGTTTGATATTACGTCCTCGACGAGTACGGGGTTCTTTTGTCATGTGAGTGAACGTGTCGTTTGTGATGAGTATGGTCAGCTTAGGATTGGGAGGTAAGCCGCTGTCAATACGGTCGTTGGTTGACTGACGAGGCTGGGGATCATGGGTCTGGGTGGGTAATGTGCGTGTGTGGCCATCCCATTTTAGTTCTATCTATAATTTCGGGTATCTACGTGATTGATTCTCTTCAAGTGTCCAATTTTCAACGGGGTTGATTCTCATTATTGATTCTGTCGTTTCAAGTTACATAGGGGGTATTATTTCAAAAGCAAACAGGTCGTGAGGGAGACGGTCATGTTGGGGTAGAAAGACGCAGCCAACGACAAAGTGATGGAGTAAATGGGGTATATGCAGGAGAAAAGAAGTGAGGTACCCAAACATGAGGGCACATTCAAGACCGGGGTGCGGAGAGGAAATGCTTCGAGACAGAATGCCTAGGCAAGCTGTCTTTCCAGATTACGACCCGGGCCCGGAGTGAGGATAGGAGGTAGATTTTGGTATGGGTCTCTGAGTCCACGACTGGTGTTCACGGTGCCAACGTTTGGATCGTCAAGATGCAGTTGTCGGCTGAAATCAACGTGAAGTTGATCCGGCAATGGGGGTGGACGGAGGTATCTGGGATTGGGCGGAATAGGATGCTGCATGGCATAGGCAACAGACTCACCTGGACTGCCTGGAAGCGTGACATTTGTGGCATGGAGCGTGCGAGCGATGTCTTCCAGCAAGATCTCCATTGGGGCAATGTATGCAATTCGGAGTGTCTCGGACCATGCCAGGACAGCTCCACAGACGCGGCCAGTGGACTTTTCAAAGACCCAAGCGCCAGAATCACCGGGAACTAATACGCAAGTCAGTACAAGACAAATGGAAAGAAAGAGTAGATCGGCATTGAGTTGCACTCACTCACCTCCAAAGTTCCCGTCCACCCCAAAGCTTGTGGAGAAAGTATGCCGGCCGTGGAGTTTCACCATGGTCAATGCCTTTGAGATCTGTCCTGTTTGCAATCCGCTGGTCCGGCCGCAGCAGTGGACATTGAGGCCACCGAGTTCCTCAAACCGCGCTATGTCGTTCAAGAGGATGGGGTTTCGTTGCAGCGGTGGCATCGGCTCGCCCGGTCGTCGCCTTACTTGCGCAAGCTGAGATGCGGATGGCTTGTCGTAGACAATATTTCTCGCGTCAAGACGATCCTGATTGATCTTGATCAGAGCCCAGTCAATTTCATGCTTGACGCCCTGTCGCGTCCAGCGCCGAACGCCCGACGAAGCGTGAACATATCCGAAAGTGTGGGAAGCGAGATGCTCGTCGTCTCTGTCCTCAGGACATGGAAAGAAATCTTCACGAACGTCATCAATGGCGGGTTGAGTCACGAAAACCGGGGGTTCTTCTCCAGGTTCGATGCCAGCCGTGTCACCAATTGACGCTCTGTCATCATCATCGTAACCAAAGTCGTCCTCGCCCTCGTCTGATGAATAGCCTTCAGAGAGAGCAAAGTCATCGTAGTAGTCATCGCCATCCTCGTCATCTGAAACCTCGAATTCGAGACTGTGCTGAGAGGAAGCATCATCACCCCATGCGTACATGGGCTGCGCATTTTGAGCGGCCATGTCGCGAGACCAGTTTCCAGCCGACGATCGGAGAGGGGCTTCTTCCAGAGCTTCATGTAAGTCCTCCGCATCCTCTTGGTCGCTAGGAGCCTCGAGCATATGGTGGACTGTCATACCATAGGGAATGCCATCAACTAAGATCGCACCTCCGTAAGACACCGGAGGAAAATGTTCCTCGTTCATAAAGGCGCCCATAGATGCACCACACAGAGGCCTCGGCTGAAAGCAGGGATTCGGGTCCTGTGGAGAAGGAGGAACTTCAAGGGTGCTCTGAGGACCAGTCCTCGCAGGCCGACGACGCTTCTTTCGCGGGACTTTCGAGCGCTCAATGTCTCCGCGGAGCACAATCAGGTCCCAATCCTCTTTGTCTTCGAGGGGAAAGTACCTCTTCAACGCCGCTCTGACCTTTTTGACACTCGCGCAAGTCACGAAGATTGTGGTTCTCGCGTTTTCCAACCCGTCGCCAGCCATCATGAGAGTAACACCACAAGACTCTGACGAGTCCTTCAAAATCCTCTGCAGCAGTTTTCTCAACTTTGGCAGCATTTTGAAGTTCCATTCGTCCAGGTGATGTTGAGGGATCTCGACGGTTGTGAGCTTCTTGAATGTCCGCTTCTTCAGCTTTCTTTCCTCAAGCCCAACCTTCATCAACTTCATCTCTGGAGCTGGAGCCGCGGCCAATGGCTGACGGAATCGAGTAACCTGCTGGGGGCCCTCGTATTCTCGTGCAGCCTGCTTTGCAGCGTCTGCTTCGGAGCCAGGAACAAGTGCCAGGGGGAGACAATCGTCCAACTCTTCAGCGGCTGGGGCGGAAAAAATGTCAATCCTGCAGCAAGACCAAGCTATTTTGCACAAGGTGTAGATAAAGTTCATAGAGAACGAAAAAGTGCCTTCTGGTGCCGAGAGATCCAAGACCGGGTAGTGGAATGTCTGGGGTATTCTCAGGTTGAAATCGTCAAAAGGCTGGGTTGAGAGGTGGAAATTTGGGGCATCAAGACACAGTTGAACCACGTGAATATACGCACTGCCGCACTTGGGACCCAGTTTCTTCAAGTACATACTCTCCAACCTATGCTTGAACATAGAATTGTCGTATTTCAACTTCCAAAGGCGGCTGATGGGTGTCCAAAGGCCAATTTCCATCAGGACTAATCCGAGAGAGTACAGGTCGTAGGACCAAGCCGCATCGTCGTCGATAATCCTCTTGTCGTCGGGGTGGCGATACATGTTCGAAGAAAGTGGTTCGGGAGACGGGTTATTTCCCGAAAATTGAGCGAAGGATGTGAGGTAAGGACGGCGAAGGTTTTCAGTGAGTCCGACTTCGTTTTGATTCGAGTTCAAACCGGGGAAAATAAGAACACTGCTGCTGTTGATATTTCCGTGGACAAGGTTCTGACTTCTGAGCTGCATTACAGCCATGAGGAGGTCATAAGCCAGACGGAACCTAGTCTCCAAGCTTGGTACAGGGAAGTCTTCTCCCATTTGGAGAAGCGAAACCAAGGGCTTAGGCTTCAGGTCATTTAGAAGATCGGTAGGGTTCTGGAGGAACGGAAAATAGTCAACAGGCATTTGGTAAACAAAGGCGTAGCGGGCATTGGGTCGGTCGATATAGTACCCAAGGAAGTTCAATAGTGCGAGGTGAGAGACCCGCGCATTCTGGACGAGCTGATCAAGTGTCTGGTGCACGTTGTCCAGCCGCGTATTCTCAGGCGAAGGTGGATTGGAAGACGAATCAAGCACCATAGGAGTGTATTCAACAAGGATGCTAACGGTAGATTCCGTGATTTTGTGGCGAAAGGGTATAGCCGAGGTTTTCATGCGGCCGAGAACTCGAGAGTTGGTGGAAGCTGCGACCATCTCATACGGAGGCGGGTTGTTCTCGTGGGATGCACCAGTGAGTTGCAGCGCCGAGCGGTCAATCAGATAGCTCTTCGTTTCAACAGGAGCAGCTTTATTAAAAGCTCTCTCTAACATGGGTTGTTCGAAGACGGGCGACTGAGTAATGTCGTGAAGATTCGAGAAAGAAGAGTATCCCAAAGCTTCTTTCGACAGCGACGACTGCGGACTCTGATGCTTCCGCGCACTATCAAAAGACGCACCATGATACGCCTTGGAATCTCGAAGCTTTTCGCGACCGACATCACCGCCAGGATTGCCGACCTGAGGAGAAGGATAAGACCGGGTACGACCCGAAGGCTGTGCGCTGGCGGTCATATTGCGGCGTGAACCAGAAACGTCGTAAAGAACGTCGATATATCCCGTCAGCTCGGTCAGAAGCGTTTTTGAGCGAGCAATTTCGTCACTGGTCCATGTTGTCTTGTTCGAAAATCCACCGAGGCCATCTCCCGCAGGGGAATCCGCTTTCCCTCCCTTCGGAGGTAAATCAGAGGCGCCCTTGTTCTGCAACCGTTCCGCCTCGCTAAGTTTATCCTGGATCGTTGACATGACACTTTCCACAACATCGTCAATCCCAGCCTGGGTCAGCGACTCGTCGATATCATTCGGCTGAGCGGCGTTCGCATCGCTCCAGTTCAAACCCCATGCCAGAAGTCTATCTCGCTGCGTCTTGAATTCGCGGTGGATGGAAACGAGTTCGGGGTTATCGATGGCATTGGAGGCAGTGGTGATGCTCTCACAGGAAGCCTTGGTGTCGGTGTACAGCTTCGTGAGGCGCCGCTGGAGGTATGAGCCCCCGTGGTGCGGGAGTACGGACATCTTGGCGAGACCGGAAACGACTCGAGCGGATGCGGGGGCGGGGGCTGGTCTCAGAACATTTCAGAGGCGAGCGCTGTTGCTGAGCGAGCTGGTAAGAGCGAGGGAAGAAAGTACTAGCAACACAGCACAGCGGCGATAGATGAGGAAATCAGGAGCAGGCTGCAAGAGAGGAGCAGGTTCGAAGAAGAATATGGCCATGGGAGGGAATTGTGCTGCCTAACCAATAAGGAGTGGCGAGTGAAGCAAAGCCTCATTGCCAAGCCACAGATCTGACAAGTCACGTGGCAGGCAACCACTTTGATGTGCTGACTCAGTGTAGCCAGGACCCACTGGACCCGCAATCAGATGCAATGGTCTGGCAACTCCTCCACCACACCAGATCAGATCAGATCTTTGCCTGTCTTGCCTGTCTGGAATCTGGATACTCCGGAGTGATGTCGCCGTTTTTAAAGCCCATCCCAAGAGTCAGTGCTTAGCAGGCTTCAAAAAATCAGGAGGCATCAGAGATCCATTGTCACCGTACCATATGATTTTCAAGATCCGGGGATGGCTGTGGAGCACGGTTTACCTCTGAGGACTAGTTCCTGAGTCCTGATTGTTACTGTTGACTGATAGGCAGAACAGTTACCATTTCAACTGCTCCTGGCCTCTGGTTATCATGATTCAAACCCGTCATACAAGCCCTCCAGAGGCTCCAGTCATGGATTTGCCATTCAAAGCACACTCACTTTCACAAGGACAAAAACTGACCCGTGATCAATACTGAACTCTACATGCCACAAGTGCACACCAATATCTCACCCTTGTGACAATTATTGGTCTACATTTGTGGGTTCAAAGAGCCCAAAAACTCAGAGGCCTCCCTCGTTTTGGGGAAGTTTCGGATACTACCGATTGTACCGGACTGGAGCCTACATAGTACAAACAAGCAGGACGTTTGAGGCCGCCGAAGATTATCAGCTTGATTATGGTTTGGGCTAGAACAAAAGGCTCACTGCATGCCTTAGATGTATAATCCTGCTGTCATACATGCACCGCACGTTGGAGCTACTATCAGCAGACAGGTCAAGGACGGCGAGCAAATTGAGATGCCTAGCGGCCAGATGTTGTTTCGGTCTGCTCTTCCGCCAACAAGAAATCTATCAGCCTAGACTAGGTGAATGGGACATACAATCCGACCAAACATATCGAGGATGTCAGGTATCGACGAACTCTATCCGCGAGCATGAGCAGCAGCAGCACGTCCCGCCCTCCGACCAAACACAGCCCCAGACGTCAGCCCACTGCCACCAGGATAGTTATCCCAGAACAATCCTCCCAGCATCTCACCAGCACAGTATAACCCGGGTATAGGAGAATCCGTAGCCGACGAGAGGACGCCCGCAGTCTCGTGGTCAACAGCCAAACCACCAAACGTAAAGGTCACACCGCAGGTCACCTTGACAGCGACATACGGCCCTCGCGTAAGCGGCGTTGCCCAATTGGACTTAGGCAGAGCCAGCTTCTTCCCAGTCGACTGCGTAGAGAGACCATCCTTAATAGCCGGATCCCACCTGTGGTCCGGATTCTCCTCCCGAAACGCCGCAACAGCCTCATTATACTCCCGAATAGTATCCAAAAACTGCCCTGGGTCTCTCAGCCCACGCTTAGCACACTCCCCAGCCAACTCCTCCAACGAATCCCCCGTAATCCTCTCCACAATCTCCTCCCTATACTCCTCCCCACGTAACCAAGGCACCATATCCGCCCCCCAAACCTGAAACGCAACATGCCCCGGCTGCGCCAGAATCGCCCGCCCAAAGACAGCGTACGTATAATTCCTCATATCAACGCCCTCATCCACAAACCGCTTCCCCTCAGTGTTGAGCATAAGCCCGAGCGGGTACCCGGACTTCGTAAACTCGTTCGAGATAATCCGGTCCCCTGCATTCGGCGGCGCTTTCGCGTCCCACGCGACGGAGTGGCACCCCGACCAGTTCCCCGCTGCCTTTGCGGAGGCGTCGCGGATCGCCATCTCCAAGCACGACCCGTTATTGTATGGTGTGCCGCGGACGTGTGCAAAGTCCCAGCCGGGACCGAGGAACTGCGCTCGCATTCGCGGGTTCGCTTCGAAGCCGCCTGCGGCGAGGACGACGGACTTGGTGAGGATTTCTCGTTCTCCCCAGCCGGAGCCAGGGCTGGAGCGCGACGTCTCTTGCACGATCACCGAGTGGATTCCTCCGGTTGCGGGGTTGAGAATGAGACGCTTCGCTGATGTATTGAACAGAATCTCAACGCCCAGTTTCTCTGCTGCTGCTCGCTCATCCTCAATTAGGCCCTTCCCGCCATCCTGCGTCTTCAGACACATCCCGCCCCAGAATTTAATCCGCCCATCGATCTCATAGGCCTGGCGGTTGAAGCTCAGCTGGAACCGCACGCCGTGGCTTGCGAGCCACTTCACTGCATCGTTGCTGTCTTGCACAAGCGTCCTCGAAAGATCAGGATAGGATCGTCCAACACAGATCCGCGCAATATCGTCTGAGAAGTTCGCTGCCGTATATGGCTCAACGTCTATATTCGCTGCTTTCTCCTCCTCGACGTTGTTTACTATCGGGAGGATATCGGACAGGCCATGGTGCACCGCTCTGAAGGCGCCGGCTGTGAAGTAGGAGTTCCCGCCTGCCCAGGTTTCGGGGCACGAGTCGATTAGGAGGACGCGGCTGGCGCCGGACTCGGAGGCTGAGATTGCGGAGCAGAGGCCTGCGTTGCCGCTGCCGATGACTAGGACGTCGGCTTCTGGGGCGTGGGCTGGGGTTGGGGGCATGGTGCGAAGGACTGTAGATGCAAGCTGGGCAGAAGCTGACGGTTCCAGGGGAGTGAGTAGAGGACCGAGCCGCCAGGTGATGCTCTTATGCAAATAGAGTGGTAACTGTGATGCAAGGGGCGTCCATGGCAGTGAAATCTGGAGACGCTGTACTCCGCAGTCTCGGCTGACTACGATCGTTCGGCTAACCATCCGAACATGGCGGGGAATCTCCGACTTGGTCTTCACTACGACGCAGCATGAACTTGGCTCTACCAGCCAGGAGCTCCTGCTCATTTTACTGGGCTAAATACAGTCTATACGTCCATAGAATGAGGATTGGAAAAGTTGCAGGGGCGGAGAGCTATGCTGGGATCAGGGCCGTGCGATGCAGTCGATATATAAATATATATAATGATGCAAAATATCGAAACGAGTATCATATAACAACCCTCTATTCTGGAGCTAAACCAGCCATATTGCGCGTTCATAAATGAAAACCTGATTCTTAGCTTTTCGGTGGTCTAGCTCACTTTACTGAAGGCTCGTAATGCCTCGACAATGCTGCTTTGCCGCCGGATATGCTAGGTAGACTGTTACACTACCTTTCTTGGAGGGTGGACCTGCAGAAGCCGCAAGGTCGTTGCCCTACGTAAGTGAGTCTCAAGGCGTCTCGCACTACTTTCAAGCGGATGGGAATGAATCCAGCGTCAGCCATGAATCGTTGGCGATGATAAGATCTATAGCTTCTACACCGAGGCCTATATTAGACTTGGTGTACTTTACTTCTTCAATCCTGCTCTACTCTACATTCTTTGAGAGTTTCAAGTAGTTATTGACGTCTACGTAATGCAGCTCGGTAGTTGAGAGATTCAATGGGTTCGTGAAATTTCGACGATTGTAACATGAAGATCGTATATTCGTACGATCACAACACAGGAAAAATCTTGGAGACAGGTGTAGACAAAGTGTGAGCTAACAAAGAGCCACAAGCATACATGGTCAAGTCTCATTGAACAAAAGAAAAGAAACAGGATAGAAAGGAAATTCAAGTGTAAGTGAGATGTGCCCACTTGGACCAAGTTTGGCCTTTGCCATTTAGCTCACGATCTCTCCCATAGGGTAGCCTGCCATGTAGGAATCGTAGACTAGACATCCAACCTGGGTCGATCCGCCAATGCCGTAGCCACCCGGTTCGACGAAATCCTTTTTGAAGTTCTTTTTGGTGATGTCCTTACAGGAAAGCTTCTCCATCGGGTACACCGGGTTCTGATTCGGACCTTCGCACTTGTCTTGCCAGTAAATGTGAGTCTTGTAGTAGTCGGTCGCGCCCTCAGAAAGACTAACTGTGTACACGAGCGCAGAGTCTGGCCCAAGGCTCATGTCATCTTTGCCGATACCGCCGTTCTCGCACTTCTCCACAAGCATATCGATGAGCCTATCGTCTTTAACGTGGATTGGGGTGGTGTCAATCGTCTTAAGCGTCTCGCCGATGCGTCCCTTGTCGTATGGGAGGGTCTCTCCAACTTTGCCTTCTTCAGCTGGAGGGGCCGAAGAGCCACCAGAGTTCGCGTCTCCGCCGTCTTTATCCTCATCACCCTTCAACCAAGCACTATAACGAATGCATCCAACGACGATAGAGCCACCGTAACCATTGTACGTATCGCAGGTTTCCATCTTGAAGATGTCCACAATGAGCTGGTGGCAGTTGTGGCCGGTCATCGGATGGTGGACATTCTGGGCTGGCCCTTGACAGTCTTTTTCCCATTCGAACCGGACAACATAGTACGGCTTAGCGGTTTCGGGTGTGTTGCCGGAAGCCAGGGTGTACTCGATAGGTGGGTCGTGAGGACCGAGCTCTGTATCGCGGTCGCTGACATGTCGTCCATCTCGGCAATATTCTGCAACTTCCTCAACCTTGCCCTTGTCCGGCTTAGATGGAACAAAGAAGGGTAGCTCGTAGCATTGGATCTCGCTGACGAGAGACGCATTCTGAGGGAGTGTTTCTCCTGTGGCCTTTGGCGAGGGCGGCAGGGTGAATCCCGGGGGCTGTCCTGGTGGGTTGGTGCCAGAGGGAGTTAGACATATTTCCTCGTCCTCGGGTGTGACATCTCGTCGTTGCACTTGACCGGGGACAGGAATAAGAGCGTTGTATTGGGCATAATACTCCACATGGGCAGCCTGAACTCCTTGTATCCACAGCCGATAAGCACCGATTCGATTGTAGTGCTGGTGGTCAACCAGTTCGTAACGGTGATACGGTGCGACATCGAGGACGATTTTTCCAAAGTGATCATCATTCGAGTCTAACTGGCGTCCCAATGCGCGGACGTAGCCATGAACTTCACCGTGTAGTCCTTCTGGTACTAAGCCTTCATACAAGTACCCAGTGAGCTGTTCAGCTAGATAAGCAGCTCGTTCCGCATATAGGATCCGCGGTTCCTGGTCTTCTTCGAGGTAATTGGCGTCAAATGGTGAAATAACATAAACCTTCGGGCTATTCGAAGGGTGAAGTGGCCCTGGGGCGTCTGACGTTCCAATAAGTTCCGGGATCGGTGGTTGAATCCAAGGGAACTGATTGCCATCCGTGTTAAACATAAGCCGACCCAGGAGAGGTTCAAGCGATAGCATTAAAAAATCAGAGACGTCTGAAAGTTGGCGATTGTAGCTATTTGCAAAGACGGGGTCTTCCCAAATATGCGCGATGTACGCCCCCTTAACCGACACAATAAACACCGCGGTGCATCCTTCAAGATCTCGCATGCCGGCTGCCATCCGCGCAAGCTTTTGGCCGTACGGATCAAATGGCCACCACTCAGCACACGTTGCGGTGCCGCGATCAACCGGAGCCCATCTATTTCCTACAGAATCATCAGAGAAAGGATTTGCTTCAGAGAGAAGTCGGTACACCGCCAACAAGTCTTCGGGATTGTCATTGTCCAGGGGTACAGGACCTAAGAGATCACCATCGTCGGAATGCTCGTCGTCGGAAGGCTCGTGGTCAGAAGGCTCCTCGTCAAAGGGCTCCTCGTCAGAGGGCTCCTCGTCAGAGGGCTCGTCGTCGGAGGGATCGTCGTCTCGTTTCACCGGGCCATTTGCGCGGCGGCGAACAGGTATAGGAGTCTGGGCCACAACGATGCTCGAAGCAGGTAGTGCAGTCAACGTGGTAGTTGGGATTACTTTGCAGTCAAGCGTCGCGATAGGCACATATCCTCCCTTTCCCTCGCTGCGGCATGAATTGCCACAAGAGTCTGCCTTGCATAGTGGATAAGGAGTTGGGGTGCTGGTGACAGTGGTAGTAGTGGCGGTGACGGAGCATCCGGTGGCTGTAATGGTGGTGGTTGGGTAGCATGTGGTGGTTGAGATGGTCGAGCTACCCAAGACAGTCGAGATCGGCTCACAGAGGACAGTAACTTGATTCGCCGTCTCTTCGGTACAAGATGAAGTCTTCGTGACGGTCGTAGTAGTATCGGTGACGGAGCACCCAGTGGTTGTCAACGTCGTGGATGGGCTGCAAGTCGTGGTCGAGAGCGTAGAGTCCGAGATAGTGATCGAGGTCGGCTCACACTGAACAGTGACGTAGAATGCGGTTATCTCAGAGGTACACGATGTCGTGGTGGTAGTTTCCGAGGGGGTAGATGTGGTAGATGTGTTGTCATTCTCATCCTCGTTCTCGTCTTCATCCTCGTCATCCTGGTTCTCGTCATCCTTGTTTTCGTCATCCTTGTTTTCGTCATCCTGATGCTCGTCATCCTTGTTTTCGTCGTCCTTGTTCTCATCATCATGGTTGTCCTCCTCGTCATGGTTGTCCTCATCATCGTCTTCATCATCATTCTCCTGGTCATCATCGTCTTCCTCATCATTCTCCTCATCGTCTTCATCATCATTCTCCTGGTCATCATCGTCTTCCTCATCATTCTCCTCATCGTCTTCATCGTCCTCCTCATCGTCCTCCTCATCGTCCTCCTCATCATCATTCTCCTCGTCGTCGTCCTCCTGACCAGGAGGCTTTGTAGTTTGAGGGGGAGGGATCACGCTTGTAGTGTCAGGGATCGGTTCCGTAGTAGTGAGATCGGGTGTAGTAGTCGGTTGGACGATAGTAGTTGAGAACCCAGATTCATCAGTTGTGGTAATCGAGGTGAGGCTAGTCACGGAAGTCGATTGCTCATCAGTGACGGAAACCAGTGGCGAAGAAGTAGAAGAACCAGTAGACGTAGACTGAGTTATCGAGACAGTGCTTGTGACCGAACCGGAAGATGAGCTACCTGGTGTAGGGGTAGCGGAGGGTGGAGCTTCAGTTGAAAGGGTGTCAGAAGGAGGCACAGTCGGTAGGGTGACAGTAGGATCCGCTGGCGGAACAGAGGAAGTCAATGAAGAGGTCGTCGACATAGCCTCCGTACTGGTGTCAGAGCTCGAAATAACATCCGTGCTAGTGGTTGGAATATCACCACTAGTAGTGGATACAATGCTGGTGCTTGAGGTGGTAAGGACAGCGGTGCTAGTGTTGGGGATAGCAGGGCTGGGATCAAGCGAGCTGGTGGACACAGAGCTAGTACCGGAAGAGCTGGACGTAACAACGCTCGAGCCCAGAGAAGTGAGAACATCTGGGTTCGAGGCAGAAGTGGTGGAAGGTACAGTAACAAAAGTCGTGGGCCCAAGAGAGGTGGTAACAATAGGGCTCAAAACAGTAGAGGTAGAGACCAAAGAGCTGGGACCATAAGAGTCGGAGACCGAAGGGACAGAAACCAAAGAAGTAGAGCCAAGAGGATCGGAAATTGACGAGACCGAAGCAGAAGTGGTTGAGACAGCAGCACCGGTGCCAGTAGACACGGGGGTGGAGCCGTCAGGGCCATCAGTCGCCGCATAAGAAGTGATATAGACAGGGGAAAGGACATAAGAAGTGATGACCGTGGAAGCCGAAACGTCATACACGGCAGTCATGCCTGGGTCAAGGACACCTGCTACTGCAGGAGCAGCAACAGCAGCCAGGCCGCAGGCATGCCACAAAGTGGACAGCCGCATGGTTGCAGGAAGCGAAAATGCGTGTAATCAGAGTTCAATTGGTAAGAAAGGAAGAGAGTATGAAGATAGAAGGAAAAGAGGGATGGGAAGGAAAAAATCAAAAAGAATTTGGCCCGGGGATGAGCAGGTTCTTATATTGGGATGCGAGAAGTCTGGGAGCAGGGCCAGAAGCTGGAGCCCAGCAATATTCACGCTGGAGTGAATGAAGGCTCGCTCTAGGCTTTGCTTTGACATCTGAGTAAAGCATCCTGATTGGCTGAGTTCTGCATGGAGCTGCTGTGAATGTCCGCATGTTTTTAGTTTCCTGCCAATAGCACTGATAAAGTGGACCTAGAGTGAATGATCACAGGCCTTCCAAACATCAGAGCTTGGGCAAGGCATTCTGGAGCAGTCTGGAAGCTAAGAGGTGGATTCGCAGACTGTGCTGGTGAAGAGGATTTCACTGAAAACCCTCCCCATTGAGTTTGGTGCATTTTTGGACCACAGATTGACAGTGACAACACACCTAAGCACAGCAGGAATGCACATAGAACATTTTTGTCTTGTCTTTAAATCAATGTGACAAGTATTTTCGGCTGGTGTATGCTGTTGTTCCTTCATATCATTCGGAGCTCGACGCTAGTTCTTTTTCATTGTGTCTGGAGATAGACAGCAACCGAGGCTCTATTGCAGTTTAAAATCCTGAGCTAAGCCATGAGACGGCAAGATTGAGTGATGATGCAGCTCAAAGCTTAGCAGGCAAGCAGGGTATTTCCTGTAACACACATGCTTCATGAGACTTTGATTGACAAACCACAAGTCTTCTGCAGGAATCTGAAGTCAGAAAGCCTCTCAAGAAGTCCGGATGCTGAGTCCTTACTCGATTTGCAGCTTCCCGTTCCCGGAATTCGCATCGTCTCTTCCTTTCCATACCGTCAGGCGTCCCGATCGATCTATACACTGATTAACATTGAGAGAAATGGCGGAGAAACAATATGGAGAGTCTGAAAGTGGTCTGAGGGGATGATATCCACGTAAATTGATGCATATACCATGGTCTCGTTGGACCCGGTAGCCAAACCGTTACTCTCTCCCAGAGGGTATACCACAACGCTGTTGTTAGCAAAGAACCTACCTCCCGAGTAAACAGGAACAAAGTTCATTATAGAGCTCTCAGCCTTCACAAAAAGCACTGATTAATCTCCGGTGCCGCCAACTGAATCACTCCAGCTTCTCTTTCTTCCTCTTCATCCCCTCCCTCATCACAGCAACGACATCCTCCACCGTCGTCCCCCGTTCCCTCCGTCCAGTCTGCTCCAAGCCAAGCGCCGTATCCTCCGCAACGACCCTATAGACCTCGCCGATCTCCTCATACCTAGAAGCCAAAGTGTACCCCGTTAGACTTCCCATCCGCAAACCAACCAAGAGCAATGGATGAAATAAACTCACAGCCCCCTCTCAAACCCACCCTCTTCTTCCATCATCGCGCCGATCTGCTGCATCTCGTTAACCCACCTCCACGCCTTCGGCGGCATCCCGACGACGCCCTTGTTGACGATCTCAAATGTGCCAGGGTTATGCTCCCCCATGTACCGCTTCAGCTCAGGGAACACGCCCATCGACTCCGCCGTCACGAACGATTGGATCGCCAGCGCGTAGACGCCCTTCGTCATACTCGCGAAGCACATCTTTAATCCTGAGGCGGCGCCAATGGATGGGGAGATGTGCTCGATGTTCAAGGTCTCCAGCAGATGCGTGTATGCCGGGTTCGAGGGGAGAGAAGGACCAGATGTAACTATCGAAGGGAGGGTCCATTTATCTTCTTCTGCTGTCGAGGTTCGCCGCGGTGGCCCGCCGATGATCCCGCCGTCTATGTAAACGATGTTTGGATTGGGGCTGAGGAGGTCGTTGGTTTCTCTTGTCAGCGAGGGTGCCGTGGCATTGAGGTCGAGATAGTAGAGCGGTTGGTTTTGGTTCCTCGAGGGCGAGCCGGACATGGTCTCGTGGATGCGCTGCGCGGTTGCGAAAGAGTCCTTTGGTGGGACGATGGAGAGGATAACGGAACAGAGCGAGACGAGGTCTTTGATTGATGGGCAGAGCTGGATGTTGATCGATTGAGCGCGTTCTCGGGTGCGCTCGCTAAGTGGGATGTTAGCTACCAGCTCTATATTCAAGTAGAACGTTGGCATCTCGCCTTCGATCTTCTGCAAAACTCGCAACGCGGTATCCATGGCTGACAAGGAGGTTGGCAACACCAAGCCCCATTTCGCCGATGGACAGGACGCCAACTACAGGCTTTTGGTCGGCCATGGCTACTGATCGGATGAGAGATCCTGTGTTGTTCGTGAGTAGGGAGACGTTGAATCTGGCATCTGCCCGAGCTGCTTATCTCCCTCAATGCGGGGTTGACGCGGGGCGATTGTCTCGATCAACCTCACCCGTCCGATGGCGTCATATCCAGTCTGAGCAGCTATAGGAGCTCTAATTCTCGAACAGTAGGCGCTATGCTGGCATCGAGATTCTACGCTCAATTGGTCTTGTAAGCAGCATCATTCAGCCCTTTCAAATCCTACCAATTCTTTTCCTTGTGGGCTGATGTTAATCTGGTGCACCTCTCCCACAAGTCTTGGCAGTTAGGGCTTGCCGAAGTTTTATAGTTCTAGACTCCCAAGTTGGCGACCCAGATGATGTGCCCAGGTGATGCTGCTGCACATCTTTGAAATACTAATTGAAGGCTCTCCTTAGGCTCTCCTTGTAGGGAGTTACGAGCCACATTGCCTACCGTTTGAGTCTGTGAGTAAAGACATTGGCTATCGGTCTCTGCATCTACAAATCGCTGTGGCAGTAACCATAATTCACTGCAACTTGAAGGCCGAGCAACGCAACCATTTATCGATCAATCTGATTCTCGTCTAGTAACCGCCTAAATGTACAAAGAAGAAAAAAGCAAACCAACGCCACTAAAGTTAGATAACTGCGAATCCAGCGGACGCGGATAGCCTTTGCTATCATCCGGTAATCACCCGCCGAGATACACCGACATCTCTTGCTCGCTTCTCGCGGAAATTGTGTAGACGTTCTCCGATTAAGAAGAATTCATCTCGGATGCTCACCTTCCACACTTCGACCTGGCGGCAAACAAGGTAAGCGAGCCAGGTCACAAGTCCCACCGCTAGCGTAACAGGATAAGCATAGCGGTAGACCTTGGGCTGCAGCTCTGGACGGGAAGAGAACAAGACCATGTTTGTTACAAACCCAAAGGAGAGCGGTAGCGTGATTGCCGCCAGAGCAAGAAGAGTCACAGGAAGGAGCAGAGCTCTGGTCGTGAGCTTGGCATTGGGCTTCAGCCAGCCATCACGGAAGATGCCCTTGAGGACTGCAGCTGGTCGGGACCTAGTGTGCCACAGAGCCAATTTCACTGCCATCTGAACATAGAGCACGCCCAGGGTCCAATCCTGGATGAAGTGGATGACGTGATCCTTTTCGTGGCCGGCATATGTGTGGACCGGAACCAGTAGGTAGAGCTCTATCGCCAGGGCAAATATCGACGGCAGGAAGATCAAGAACGACGCCACAACATATAGAACACTGGTTACATTAAGTAAGGCGCCCATCGCTGTACGAATCACCTGCTCGGGAGACTGTAGATACGGACCTAAGCGGCCCGTCATCACAAGGAAACCAGCCCGGCATGATAACATGACGCAGGCAGCAGAGCAGGCAGCCCCCATGCCGACGAATAGCGCGTAGACGTCGTTGACGGGTACGCCAGGGAGGTAGTAGGACATGATTCTGCGCCCGACGATCAGTGGAATAATGGTGATTCCCACCCCGGTCGCGGCGGCGAACATCCAGATGAAGAAGATGAAGGCCGCGATTCTGCTCCTAAAGAAAGGAGGAATGTAAACCTTGGTAAACTGGTTATTGAGTCGGCCATGAAGTCCTTGGTCAGTGTCAGGCTTCCCATCAATTCGTTCGTTTGCTTCATTTACTTCCACAAATACAGGGCTTCCCTTCGGGATACGGACTTGGTCGGAAGCCGGGACTCTGACAAACTTCCCGTCCCTCTTTGTTTGGACTCTCTCAAAGGATACGTGCCTGTCAATCTTCTGTGTCGCAGATTTATCAGAAGACGTACTGTCATCCGGTTGAGAAATCCGGCCTTCTTCGTCAGCATGTCTCTCACCAAAGAAGAAGTCCGATAGCCGTAAGAAGCGGGCACACTTTCGGAACCACCATCTATATAAGCTGTGCAAACCATCAGAGGGCTTGAAGAACTTGATAGCGAGGGGTATTCCGAAGTTATATAGTAACAGATCAATCGGAAACTCGAGGACCGGATCTGTAGACGACCAATGGGCGGGAAGAACACCATCGAAGCCGTAGTAGATACCCCAGACCACGCCGCCCAGGCAGACGATGACGAGAGCGCCATAAACCAGAGCACTAAAAGCGATTTTGCGGAGTTGAGTGGTAATGTTTCGCTCAAGTACATCGCGCACAGGGTGGAAGGTTGGGTCATCAGGGTCGCGAATGAAATCTAGAATAATCATCAGCAGAGGTCTCACAAATCGATGATAATGACTTACACAGGACACCGCTTCTCATGGTCTTCCTGCACATGGAGACAAAGAGGGCAAAGTGGAACATATAACAGGTTCCGACGAACCAGTGCACGAAAAGGGACGTCAATGGATATGCTGATGTAAATTCGACCCGCGACGCAAGCGTAGCATTTTCGAAAAGAGGCAGCAGCGCTACATCGAGAAGAGCGCCGCAATATAACGGAAAGACTATCATCTCAATGCCGATGATGAGGATGACCTTCATCACACCACCAGCTTGATGAAGTCCTTCTGCAACCATACCCTCAACACGTTGTCCTCCGTCAGTGCCCGAAATAAACCGAGCTGCTCGAAGATAAACCAGTCCGATAGCGGAAGCGAGAATGTAGCCCATGAATATAGCAATAGTGCGATCTTTTGTATCCCACACAGCTAGGTTATAGTCAATCGTACCATCAGCTGTCGAGATGCCTATGATATCCGCACTGACCCAGGCTGATGGGGGCAGGAAAAATCGGGCGTAGATATCGTGGCTGGCATCATAAACCTGGCCTAGAGCCAAATTCAGAAGGTTGCGGGCACTCGATGAGTCTTGGGTGAGAAAGAGTAACTTGGTGACCGTTAACGGTCCAATTTGCAGCGGAATATCGTAGAGGACAAATTTGCCAAGCAGGAAAGCCAACCGAAACAATGAAGCTATCCGTGCTTCATGAATCTTCAGAGCTAAATGGGAGAGTACTGAGAACATGGGGACATCGGCTTCATGGAAAACAAAGAAAGTATTGGCCACACTGCTCAATCGCTGGCTGCTCGCATCAATGAGCGATAATGAGGCGCTGGCGATTGGTTTCGTCCATTCATCAAGAGAAATAATGGCCGCAAAAGGACTAAAAGCCAATTTGCCAATAGCGTTCGTCCAGTACATGATATATCCCAAGCTACCAATGAGGGTATCAATGACCACGTCCGCAAAGACCGAGATCGCCGTCATAGGGACACCAAGGATGAACTGTATCGGGTGTGCTAGAAGGACGAGTGCAACCTTCCCAGCAAGGTACGGAAGCCATATACCAGCAGCCACGGTGAAAGAGATCAATAGCGCGCAGAAGACCCCGTTCTGCAATAGCCCGAAGATGGGACCCTGCATGCCAATGAGCTCCAAAATGCCCTCGAGGTCATCGGCTTCTTCAACCGCATCGACATCGTTCGGGTCAATCTCTGCTAGCATGGCATCAGCGTCTAGGTCATCGTCATGGTCTGGGTGTACCAGAGGCTCGTCAACAGCAGGTTCATCAGCCACTACTTCTTCCAGGTCAGGTTCGGGTCCCTGGTTAGGATCATCAGGAACAACGTCGGCCCAGAACCAATTTATGACTCGCTGGGCCAAACCCACATCATCTTCGACCAGGGTTTGCGAGGCGTCTGACATATTCCGTGCTTCCTCAGCTGAGTCAGTGTTGACGACTGCCGCATCCACGCCAGTTGCTCCGTTACCGCCGCTCTCCGCCATCAATGCTGCGCCCGAAGATGTCTCTCCTTCCCTGTTTTCATTCTCGTTGAATTCAATATCTGGCGCCAAGGCTTGCTGAAACTCCGATTGGTTCGAAAACGCATGAGAACTATTGGCCACAGCAGAATCAGAGTCATCCCGATGCGGAAGCGACGCGGCAAAAGACCAATTTGGCGAAGCGGGATGAGGCTCATTCACAGCCGGCTCATCCATAGCCTCTGCATCTGCATTGGTGGAATCAGAAAGACGCGAGCGTGGGTAGCCATTGGACGACTGCGCGTGTCTTTTGGGTGCGTGGCCCGAAACAAGTTCTTCAATACGACCCTCTTCACGAATGATCTTTGACATTTCTTCAAGATCGCCATTAGAACGGCGCTGTAAATCCCTGTATAACTCCATATTGATGGTGAAACGTGGCTCGTCGACCTGGGGACTTCGAGGCGTAACAGGACCACCAGCGGCTCCGACAAGCAAATCACGTATAGTTTGGGATGAGTCAATGTCTAAGGACTCCTCGTCTGGCTGCCCAGATGCTGTGCTCCTGTCATCAGCGGCTTCGTCGTCATGAACATCATCCAGTCCATTTTGCGGGGCTTCTTCTTCTGACAGGTCTTCAGGTTGTTCAGGTTCAGGCTCAGGAGCTTCAACTTGGGGACGATGGTTAGCTATTAACTGATCTGCCGCCTCCCGCTCCCCTTCCGCAATGTTGTCGAGGGGCTGTTGCTGAACAACCCACTCTCGGATAAGGAATACCAGAATGAACGAGACCACAACTAGCAATGTGATGAGCTGGCCCTCGAGCGTATCGATGAGAATGTTATTGATGGTGGGTGACGGAGTCAGTGTATTCAAAAACTTGACATCGGAAAGCCAAGATGGTCGACGTCTGAGTGGGGTCGTCGTTACGTTGGAGGAATTGCTAGAGCCAAAGCTTGTTGACATGGCGGGAAATAAAAGCGTAGAGAACGCCTTCCTCATTAGCTTGAGCAATATAGGCTCACCCGTAGAGAATTCAAACACTGACGGGGTGGATTCTCCCACACCCGAACTGGGTTCGGACGCCACGGAGCTCATGGCTAGTGTTGCATTGTTGAAAGGAGTAGACATGTTACGACCGTGATAGCCTTGCTGAGAGGCATCGGCACTTGACCAACGGCCATCAGCGAGCCAGAACAGCGCTCTCCAAATCGCCCTCATAGACCAGGGCAGCCATCCGAGCCAGACGAAGGCAACAAGAACCCAGCGGAACCACGTAACAACAGTGCGAATGCAGTGTATCGAGAGTTGTTTCATAAACAGAAGGGTCGGTAAACTCTCGGGCATATCCGGGTCGTACACTTTTGTGAAATGGAAAGGAGTCTTGCACAGCTCGCAGTGCTTCTTCTGAGAATGAGCCAGCCATTGCACCAGACAAGGCTGGTGGACGAATCTTATACTACCGCTACATTTGCAGGGGTAATAAAGCTCGTCCTGTTCCGTGCCCTCTCCGCGACAGATTCGACATGTATCCGGTTCTTCATGTTCCCTCTCCTTCCCTTTCCCGGTATCATGAGTCGGATCGTTCATTATATCGTGGGTAGCCGCGGAGCTCGAACGCTCGCGGAGGAGGCGGCCCGGGAAGTCCATCTTCGTCGTAGGATGTTCGGCGTTGTCGCCTTCAGCAGCAGCAGGCAAAACCGCCGTCGGTTACCATGATTCGGAGACGAAATATTTGGTCCGGTAATGACGCAAGAGTCGGCGTTTCAGTAAGCGACTATAGGGATCGCAGTGAGAAGGGTGCGGGATTGGTAGCAAGAGCTAGAAGGCGTAGGATCTGAGCAGCTCAAGTATTGCTTACAAGAATTTGTGGCGATTGTCGAGTATTATAAGAAAGTCATGATAATGGGTGATGTTCAAAAGGTGCCTGGGGACGAATGATGATTCAGCAACTACTCCGCCCGCATTTCTGGGCTTTGGTCACGTGAGAGCTTTCTTTGTTCGTGTCTTGATTCCTCGGCTTCGAGTCGATCACACGAGCTCGAGTCAAATAAAAATCAGTGAGCTAGATAGGCTGCCCGAACGCTCAAGTGGCCACTTTGACATGCTGAGTGTGACTAGACGCTCCTATCTACAATAAGTTCGGTTCTTCGATCTGTCCACTCTGAGGCGGTACTCCATGCAGTACCTACGAGATCTAGAAACAATTCTCAACAAAAAAAAAAAGAGAAACCAGATGTTGGCCCGGTGCCTTTTGTTTCATACATCTTCATACATATGGTAGTCTGCAAGGCTAAATTTTAGGGGGATTTGAAGTCTAAAACTAACTCGTTCATACTTCATAGTTGGTGTCACAGAGCGCCTTCAGTCCATTCCGGTGTGTTTGGCAAGCTATTAGAGCTCATCATGTCTATCTTTGGATCTGTTCTCCCGCCATTGTCTTACCTCGTCTCGCCGAAGCAAGTTCTCTCTCCAGTAATACGCAAGTCTCGCAGCACCTTCTGCGGCCATGGTGATATTCTGCAGAGTTCCACCCAAAATGGGGATGTCGTTTCCTACAGCCTCCCTCACTGCACGCTGCACCAGATCTCCGTCAATGTAGTCGGTGATGATCAGGACACAATCGACTCTCTCCAGTTCAAGCGACTCAACGCCTGTGCGGTGCTCTGCGGCGGACAGAGTCAGTGAGTTGATGCTTGAGCGAAAGAAAAAGGGCGGGGAAGGCCTAAAGTCCCATGAACGGAAGATAGGTGAGAATGTCTTGTGCGAGGAATTCCACATATCCATTGTCTTTATTACGGACTTGGTCCATTGTGAGCTTCACCCCGCCGTCGGGGAAGCTGCCATATACCCACCAGGAATCCAGCTGCAGCGTGAGCTCGTTCAGATCATAATCAACTACTGGCCCTGATTGCGTATCAGCTAGACCAAGAAATTCTACGACCGGGTTGCGGTCTTTCAGCTGCATTCTCGCCGTCGATATCTCTATTGACAGATATTCTTCGTCAGCGCCAACAGAAATCTGTGTTTGCAGCTCAGGGTACAGTTCGATAAGCTCAGTGCTCAGTTGCTTCAAGTGTCTCTGGCTCATAAAGGCTGGTAGCGGTATATATGGTGCACGGAAGTTGTCTTCACGGTGCTTCTGCGCCTGCAACAGCTGAATACAGGCATGAAACTAGCCGGCCAGCACCGAAGCTCTCCGCGGAATCCCGGGGTTCAAATTGTAACTCGAGAAATAAGCGTGGGAGAGCTTTCCTGGGATGCGCAGTCTCAATACCAGCCCTCGCGCAATCTTCAACCGCGAGGTCACCCAATGTTTTATTGAAAAAAGTCCGGGACACTCAAAATTGCAAAGGTTACGTTGACTCCGTGCTCTGCCAAAGCGGAAGCTTTGATATTCGTGCAGACCTTGGTGAATATCTCTTGGACCTCTGCCTTTGACAGAGGCACTTGTTTCCAGCTTGGGCGAAACGGAATTAGAAAGACGTCATCCAGAATTTCGCGAATCAAGATCTCGACGGACTGCACGTAGTGATGCTCCAGGATCGAAAGTCAAGCAGTGACAGCCGAAATGGCTGATGATAGACGTTTCTGGACAGCTTTCTTCAGGGTCTTGCTTAAGACTTCAAATGGGCTTGGCTCGAACAGATGCTTCACCTTCTCTCTCTCCGTAAATTCAAGCCATAATTGCATGATCCACAGCTTGTATTCGTCGTTGTCCCACAGCCAATTCGGAGAAATTTGTAGGAGAATGTGCGTAAACTGCAAAGCTATGTTCAGGTTAGTGGGTGTATACAATAAAAAGATCAAATCGATCAAACGTACATGAAGGATGGGGAGAATCTAAAACTCTCATGTGAAAGTTCAGAGAGTTTGTTAGCGTGGTGGTCAACACTCTAGAGTCTAGACAACTTTGGCGCCAAACTCTCCCAAAGAACCGGAGATTAAGCGGAGCTCTGGTTCGTGAGATTTTCTGTCGGCACGGGGGGTGCCTGAGGCACCACGCCATGCCGGTTTGGGACTAGCGCGTCACGTGCCCCACAGAGTTTTCTCCCGCCGATCAAGGCGAACCTCTCAATACACCAGACTTCTCCTATTGGACGCTTCGCCTATACGTCGGCCGTCA